CAGACAGCACCACCTTGTCGGAGTCCGAGAAGATGTCGGAGGTCTCACCCAGTTTGTTCACGTTAACCAGCTCCCCCCAGCGCAGTACATAATGCCCAGCCACAGTGTCCGGTGAAGAGAACTGCAACGAGCCAGGCAAAGGATTCGAAGTTGCGAGCACGAGCTCCGTATCCTGCAAAGAGTAGTAGTGTGCATGATAAAGAGGTGCATCTTGATTTACTTCTTACAGGCCTCTCTCCGCTTCAGCTTTCTCGATAGTAGGGCACTAGTATAGTATAGTACAGTATAGCGTAGCGTAGCGGAGCAGAGCACAGTATAGCACAGAATAGATTCGTGTAGTATAGTATAGTACAGTATAGTATAGTCTAGTCTAGTATAGTATAGCCGTATAGCATAGTCTAGTCTATACTGTATAGTATAGTATGGGATAGGATAGGATAGGATAGGATAGCATAGCATAGCATAGTATAGCATGGTATAGCATGGTATGGTTCGGTATAATAGCGTAGAGTGGGGGATAGGACAGTACATAATATCCTATATACAATTCTAAATCTACTGGACGTTCCCTTTTCCCTCTCTGGCCTTGACCACCAAGAGCCATGCCTTGTCCACGGCAGCTGGAGCTCCCTTGAGCGCCACGCGGAGGTTGTCCTGCATCCGACTGAGTGACTCCAAGCAGCTTAGGGCTGGATGGCTTAGTTTAGTTTAATGCTTTTGGAAAGATCGGCACAGGGGTGTTTCCGGCAGTTTCATGCTTTTGGGAAGATCGGCACGGAGACAAAATCCGGCAGCCTTGTCGTGCGAGAAGGTCGCAGAAGCCTGCGTCGCCCGACCGATCCTCGGCTCCCAGCTTTCACTAGGGCCTGGGGGCCTGGGGATGATCATGACAAGCTCTTCGCTAACGACATGTTAAAGGGGTGGAGTGGGCGGGAAGTCGAAAAAGGCGACTGCCTAAGCTTGTTCCTGCACACATACATGCGTTACACAGAAAAGGACCATGGGATTTCGACCCTTTCTGCGCCAGGCAGCACATTCCAAGTAGCCGAAACTTATGATGCGTGCAAAGAACAACTCGAAATCTACTTTCCGTGCTCGTACTTATCATTTTTGCGGCAAGCTTCTTTTCCTGCGTCCAGCCTTGCAGCTGACCCTGCGCATTCTTTGCGACGCAGAGTTCCACGGCATCGTGGCTCCTTCTGCAAAAGAACAGTCTGTGACCCAAAGGCGTGTCCATTTCATCCGCAGGGGCCCTCGGCCCAGCTGTGTTGTTGATTTTCAGACTCAGTCGTGACGAGGTTGGCGGCCCCCCAAGGCAAGTAACTGTCTTCTAACCGTACATCCGGTCCCCCTGGCAAGGACTCACAGCTACTTGACCCAGCTCTTGCTCTCGTCCTGTGTCCAAGGACACGGATCTTGGCCAAGACAGTTTCGACCGCCTTCTCGCTTCCGGACACGGTGACCCGAGCAAAGGGCGCCGTCTTGTCCTCAGGCTGAGGGCTTGGAAAGGGAGCTTCCTTGGGCCTGCAAGCAGCACACAACTACGGTTGCTGTGCCACGTCCTGGATATCGAGCTTGGTCTGGGATGCGGCACAAAGACCTGCCATGGTCGAGTGAGCGACATGGTAGGACTCTGAAGCTTCTTGAAGCTTCGCCTGCGAGCTGCTTACAGAGGTGCTTCGGGACGGGGATGGTTCGGACGGTTCGGGAGGCGTCGCTCCTTCAGCCCAGGGCTCGCGTCTAAGGCCCGAGAAACCGCGCATCCCGGGGCTCGGGCTGCGACCCATTCCGGCCTCAGGGATCCACGGGCAACACAGGGAAATGTGGTTGGAATGCGTTGCGCAAAAAAACACCAACAAAAGAGCATGTACTAGTATCTGATACGAGCATTGTGAAGCGTGCGATGCTTCCGGTGCTCTTTATGCTACAGTACTTGCTAGGCCCTCAACTAACAGGCGCACAATGCTTCACCCCGCCTTCCACCGGCTCCATGACGGAATCCGTCTTGCCGTCCTCCGCAGATCTCACCAATGTCTGCTGTTATGCGCTGCAGTGTCATGCAGTGCCCTGGTGCTCCTTGAGATTCGAGTCCGGCCCGTCTGCTTTATCTGCTTTCGCAGGTTGCTCTGTCTGAGCCTCCTCGGCCACGGCCACGGCGAAATTCTCCTCGGATCCACTGAAGTCGGCCTCCGCGAAGCACACGGGCAAAAACGACCCTCCAAGTTGCATCGCAAATTCGACTGACGATTCGGCTTTGCATAACACGTCATGACAGACAACCCGCAAATCAAATGTCAGGACAGTAGTGTGGGATAAACTGTTTTGCGAGGGGTTTTGTTCCTGGGACTATGTTGGGATGAACGATGAGCGGGGACGAAGGACGGCTGGTGGTCGATACTCCCTCAAGTGTCCAGCAATGGGTACCCCGCAAACGTTCGGTACACCTTGCCAGCGAGCATCAGACGGACAACAAACAGCACAGACTGCAGACAACATACCAGATGATGCCAACCCAGAGCTAAAAGCAAAATCCAACACAAACCCACAGAATCCCAGAAGACTCTCACAAGAATCTCGCGCATTCGTGAGAGGTGGCAGTCCTGCGAGTTGCAGTCGTCCGAGCTGCTCTCTGAAGATCCGGTCTCACCCTCCTCAGGGCTCTGAGCACCTGCAGAGAGTTCAGAGCCCTCTGTCGGGGCACTGCCCGAAATACTGAGTACTGTAGTTAGTACTGTAGATATCTGTAGTTTTCGCGCCTGACTGGCCGGATGCCTCAGGAGGCTGATCAGGCTCGCCCGGCTTTTCGGGTGCATGCTCCTCTGAATGTGGGCCCTGTGCATTGCAACGCATGGGTATATGCACGGCAGAACAGGCAGATTGACGCCACGGGCCTGATTCTGGGATGGCGGTTTCGGCGTGCTTGTGTCAGCCTGCGAAGTGAAGGGCCAAGAGGGAGCGCAAGTAAGGATCCTCTGCGCGCGCTTAAGCGCCTTGGGAGGCGCCTCGCGCTTGGACGCCAGCTCCGAGCGCCTGAGCTCTCTGCCGGGCGGCGCCTGTGGTCACGGCACCACACAGCACTCAGCGGAGGCTCATGCCCCTCATTTGAGGCTTGAGGCCTCCTGCTCTCGGGGCGGCCTTGGACCCTCTTCCCGAACCTGCCACTGAGGACTGGCCATGAACCAAAACAAATCGCATCCGCCGTACCTTCCGATCACGAGCTGGCCGGTCCTGCCTGGGGCGCTGACCTGCTAAAGACCACAGAAACAGGCCACAAAGCGTGTGAGGTTGTGAGGAGCCGACCGACTTTCGGTCTTCTGTCCGCTGGCTCATCACGTGCCCTGCTGCCAGAACGGTATGGAACTGGAAATCGAGCAACGAGAATTCGCACCTGCGTGACCTGTCGCTGCCGGGTTGGACGTAGTCACCCCGCGCTGTCTCTGCACGAGCTTCCCTCTCATCCTCCCGAAATCCTGAGCAGAAGGCGCATCATAAAAGGCTCGGGGAAAAACACCGACGCCTTAGGCGTTTCAAGTGCGGCCGAAGCTCCACTCGCAGCGGCCTCCCCTCGATCGCGCGCGAGCCGAACATCAGGCTTCCTCGGCGTGCGAAAAAACCCGTGATCGGAGCAGTGCACTTAAACGCTCCGTGAAAGCTGCCGAGGGACCGTTCCTTGACCATGACCTTCCGCACACGGCGGCTCCTGGAATGATTAGCCACGTCGTTGTAACTGTTGTGGTATTCTTCGCGGTAGTCCACATGGCGCTCTTCACCATGTCGCCCGTCGTAGTCTCGTCTCCGCCCACCGCGGTCACCACTGGCCGCGTCACCCCGTTCATCGCGGAAGCCATGCCGGTCCTGCCGATCCTGCCGATCCTGTCGGTCCCGTTCAGGGTCTCGGTCAGGCCGGCGATCAAACCGATCCCGTTCGAGCCGCTGGTCCCGTTCACTGGGTCGCATGTCCCTTTCGGGGTATCGCTCCCTGTTGAACCTGTCTCGTTCATGGTGCTCCCAGTCATGCTGCTCCGCGTAGCGGTCTGGGTGCTGATGAACATAGCGCTCATCCGAATACTGGTCGTGGCGATCCCGATCGTTTACATGGCCGCCTTTGCCACGGCGGTACCGCGAATCATGACGGAACTCATCGTCATAGTTCCTCGGGGTAAGATTGGGACGGCCGCGAGCACTCTCGCGCCTGGGCTCCTGACGGTCCGGACGCCGGAGAGCTGGGAGCTCCTCTCTGACATCTCGAACATCCCTGTCTCGATGGTCTCGGTCCCGGCGATCCCGAAAGCCCTGATTCTGGTTCCCATAATGGTTGCCAGTGGGCGGGTTGCCATGATCTCGACCTACAGCATCTCTCCGATCTCGATAGGAGCGGCTCCTTTCATTTCGGACATATCGATCACCTCGATCTCCTCGATCTAAACGACCAGCCATCACAAGGGGCTGTTACCAGCCGAGAGATCCATGGCGCCCCGCCCTCTAGAGGAACACAGGGCCCATACGTGGAAGGTCTGTCAGGCTGTCAGGCGCTTCGTTCGCAGCCATGTCTGCTGTCATTAAACTCCTTACACATCTGCACGGGCATCCTTAAAGCATTGCGAGGATGGGAAGTGTTATGGGCCATGGAGTCGATAGGCAAAGAATGGCGTAGGTGTCGGAAGACATCTGAGCCCGAGTCACAGCGCTGCAGGAGACAAAGTCCCTCCTAGCCTGAACAGTCTCAGCGTCAAGCCAGACCACGATGTGCAAATCCAACCAGGCCGCTTTTTCTGTCTGCATGCTGCCTCTACTACAAGTATCTGGAATCACAGCCGACAGTTGAACCAGCATGGCTGGGACAAAACCCAAACTGAAAACCTAACTACCTCAGATGCCAGCCATCCACCAGGTTTGCGGGTCTGCCTTTCACCAACAGCCAGCAGCCTTGCACGGATAAGCTGCGCCGTCTTCCCATTTGAACCAATCTGGAGCACCTTTGTGCGGCAACTGCTCTAGGAGGAGCTTGGCAGTGTCTCGTCCGGCGTGTTGACCAGATCATGTGCTGCTGCAAGTCCGTCGCACGGTGCTTGCAGAACTTTGCCCCGCAGCCACCAAGTCCGTTTCAAGCGACTTCCTTAGGGCCCACCAGAGATCTCACAGTCAGAAGGGTCTGTTCTTGCACGCTGCATGCAGCGCATAAGGAAACGCCAAGCTGCATCTTGCCTCTGACAGCATCTGACTTGAGCACGGTGGCCGTCAGATTACATTGATCGCGAGGGACTGAGACAACCGGGCATTCAGCCTTGCAAACTTGCAAGCACCACGGACAATCCGAAAGCATGGCGAACGACAGTGTACAACCTCTTGCAACTGCCTCTGCACTCTGCAGCTTCAAGGGCAGGAACAAGGCTGCAAACAGAGTGCTGTGTTTGCTGTGCTTTGTCCATATATGTAGGTGTCGAGGCAAAAATACCCGAAACAAAGTGTTGTTTGCAATGGGGAAGAACCCTTCGCACGCCAGATTACGCGCAGTCATTTTTCAGACTTCGACTAGGGTGTATGTTGCGGAAAAGTCTGGACAGCAAAGCGGTCTACTACAAAGCAGCTGCCATTGTTTGCTTTGTGACGACTCATGATACAAGCCGCAAGCCACCATAAAACGATCAAACACCTCTTGAAGGTACTAATTACAGAGAGGTTGGGGTTCTTCAGCCCGCTTATGAAACAGGGCGTTCTCTGATGCCTTGAATCCGCACCTCGAGCCCCCGATAGCTTACATCTTGAGCACCCTCAACATTGAAACCCAACATACTTAAATCCCACATCCTGCGCCCCAATCCCTACTCCCGCCCCATACCCTAAACCCAAAAGTGGTCGGCTTTTTCTGCGCTGCTTGGCTGACTAAGCTTACTCTCGCGCGTCGGAGCACTCCAGACGCGCAACTTGCAAACAATGGAAACAAAGTCAATTGCCAAGCGATTCCTCCTCTGTCTCGTCCCCTTCTTCCAAGCTGCTCAGTATGCTGAGTGACGTGGCATAGGGGCCAAATTCGCCAATCTTCACGCCATTCGCCTCGACATCGAGAGAGAACCAAATGTGATCCAGCGCCGCCGCTGCTGTGGGTCGGAGGGCGGGGCACTTGTTGAGCATGACTTGTGTAAAATTCAACGCCTCTTGGGAAGGAAGAGACCAATCTTCATCTCGGAACTTAGCCTGCTCCGTGCGAATGCGTCCGACCGACCAGGTGTCACAAAGCATGTTGTAGCCAGTGGCGCCGAAAACCTCCGGCGCGGTGTACCCCAATGTTCCTGTGACTGTCCTCATTCTGACTCCTTCATCGTAAATTTTGGCAAGGCCGTAGTCAATGATCCTCACTGATCCGCTTTCCCTGGAGTACATGATGTTGTCAGGCTTTAAATCTCGATGAGCGACACCACATCCATGCATATAGGACAGGCCCGTCAACACGTGACAAATTACAGTTGCAATTTCGGACTCCGTGCTGTCGCCGAGGTCCCCATACAGCTCGTCTCCTTGCTCTATCAGCGCATGACTGAGCAACTTGGGACAATGCCGCTCATGGTGGGTTTGCAGAAGCGAATCAAGAATCAGACCTAAATATTCCTTACAACAGGAGAAGCAGGGCATCCGCGCACTCAGGGCGCGGCGCAACGTTCTCCCAGAGCAAAGCGTCATGACAACGTACATGCGCTCTTTCTCATGGAAGACTGCATGGAGACTGACGGTGTTGGAATGGTTTGTGAGGCGCTTCATGACCATAACCTCTGTGGTAAGGTCCAGCGCGACTTTGACAGCAAACGTAGTTCCTGTTGCCTGCAAGCAGCTGCAAAAGTAGGGCCACTTCCAAGAAGCAAGACCCTAAAAGACTCAAGGTTCAAATGCATCCATGACTGGATCAACCAGGGCCCACGCCGGAGCTAAATGCCATCACAAACATTAAGATAAATGTTCCGAATTATGTCCATGCGTGCACAGCGTTCTGGATTGGAGTGATTGGAGTAGACCATCTGGTTCTTGACAAGACCTCAAGAACGTTTTGAGCTCCCGTCTTCATGGATGAATTGGGCTGGCACCGACAGCAGGGGGAAAACACAATAGTCACAGGAGCAACATTTGGAGCAGCCCTCCTGTGCCATGCACGCTTGTTTCCTGGGACACGATGCTCCTTCAAATGTCAAGGCATGCGCCCTCCTGCTGCTCACCCCAAGCTACACGTGCATCAGCATACTGCAAAGTCCCAGACCACATCATGAGAGCCACGGGACGAGAGGCCACGGGGCGAGAGGCCGCGGGACGGGATATCACGGAACGGGATGCCTCGGAATGCCAAGCGAGGGAATATGGGGGTTTCCGAAAATAGGGGGTACCTTATTTGCGGGTCCTTATAATAAGGATCCTATTATTTGGGGTACTATATTAGGGTCCCCTATTTTCGGAAACCCCCATATGACGACGACCACCACCACCGCCGCCGCCGCCGCCACCGCCATCGCCATCGCCACCTCCACCGCCACCGCCACCACCACCGCCGCCGCCGCCACCACCACCACCACCACCACCACAAGTGCTGCTGAAACAGAACAACACATGCGCTGCAAGGCCTTCGCTGTGCAAGGCAGAACCTGCCCGAAGGCACCGCTGCCCAGGGCATCGTTGACATTGAAAGATTCCGACAACGTCGCAGCCTGTATTTGCAGATAATGTCAAATTGAACATGCACGGATACGTTCATCGAGCCAAACCCCTGCCTTGCAATCTGCCGTAGGGAACAGGTCTGACACTGCGTATCCAAAAGATCTTGTAACGACATGCTGCTTCCTGGGCTTGATGGGAGGCCTGCGCAGACAGAATATTTGTGCGCTCTGCGGCCCGCAAGAAGCGCAACTTGCATGTTACTACTTTTGGAACCGAGGCACTCGGCTTGCGCTTTGTGCAGCAGGCCGGCCACGCCAAAAACGCCGGCGAGGCCGCTTCCTCCCTTGGCGGCTTTTCCAACAACGTGGCACATGATCATGCGCCAACATGTGTGTAGTGATCTGGGCCGGGCAGGGGCACATGCATCTTAGCCACAAGCGCCGCAGCGCCCCACGTCCAGGAAGAACCCTGCGCCGCCGCAGGTGCGGCCAACGCGAGAAGCACCATGACCGAATGCAAACAACCCGAGTTTCAACCTATCGGCTCACAGAGACATACCTACCTAGGTAAAACGAGGTGCCTGACTGGCTGAAAGGAAATCGAAACAAGACCCTGCACAGCTGATCTCAATCCAAACACCAAAGTCTGAACCCTAAGCCATAAACCCAGGCCGGCTTGCCATGTGAACCGATGTGATCCTTGCACGTTGCATGCTGCCCTTGGAACTGTTTGCTCCCATCAGGGCGAACCCTCCAGAGAACGCATGTCCGCAAGCTGTAGTCGCTGCCGTCTCAAGCCAAAGGCTGCAAACAGAGTGCTGTGCTTGCTGTGCTTAGTGGCTTGCGGCTTGTATCATGAGTCGTCACAAAAATGTGGGCAAATAGTCCATTGCATCTTGTAACATGCAAAATACTCCCGACCCCACCTGGTTGAATACACTTCTGGACGTCGGGCCCCTGAAGACGTTAGGTCCTGCATGGTCCTGCCCTGGGCTCCATAAAGTTGGCCGAAGACAGCAGGCCCTGACCTGCACCTGACCTGCCATGTGACCTGCACTCCATCGAAAGCTGCGTCTAAACCCCCAGACCTGTGAGCTCAGAATGCGCCTCAGGCCCAAGGAGATCTGACACCCAGGCATTCACTGGGTTCGTGGGTGTGACTCTGCCAAGGCTTGCTCGGACTTCTCGCGTGAAATCACGTGACATGCTGCATGACCTTGTGTCTCACCATGCGAGGTAACACTGCGTGCTGAAAGAAAGGTGTTTCTCCCAGGCTAAGCCTCGCCATTTCATGCAGCTTTCCTCCTGTGCCACGCTCTTCCCCTTTCCTTGTCGACTGCCTGCGCCTCCACCGCCTCTGCCCAAGCCCCGCATCGTTGTCGCCACAGCAACACAACTACTCAACTACCCTTCGGAATCATGAGCAACTGAACTCCCAAAGACACCACCGCCTTCTAACAAACCGTTGGAGGAAGCGGAAAAAGAACTCGTCAGATTGCATTCAACCGACTGCATGTAGGACTTTGCATCCCAACACCGGCACGCTCAGGCATGCGCACATCTGAAATGCCACACTGGGAGCACCATAATCAGTTTCTCACCTTGCGCTCAACGCGGGTGAACGAATCAGCGATGAACATCTGAGCTACTGGTAAGGTCTCAGGATCGGACTGCTTGGTTGCAAGACAGTTCGCTGAAATTCGCTGCACAACCTCCGCAGGCATGTTCTGCCGCAACCGCCTGAACCCTGCCCTAGCCGCCCTAGCCTCGTGCTCGGCGTATGCCCGACGCGTGCACACAGGTCTTTTGTGTGCATGCAGTCACGGTCATCTGAGACCTAGCCGCCATCATCACACATACGACAGGGACGGGAAGGAGGCGATTTCAAGTAGTTCAGCATTCCACAGGCGTACCGGCTACCATGCCTGGAGGTCAGCGAAAGTCCTGTCAGCTGCGGCTGCGCAGATAGCAGATGCAACGAGCGGCTTCGCCTTGCATCAGCCCCCTTGTGAGGGATCCAGGCAAGAATTGCCGCTCAAGGTCGTTGGGCCAGAGGCCTCAACTGACTGGTCGGTGATGCGAGGGCCGTGGCAGAGGGCGAAAGGTTACAGTAGGGCCGCTGGGAAGGCTGAAGGCCGCTGCCAAAAAGCCGAAGACGGCGCAAAGCAGAGGTCGATGTGGACTGGAGCCTCGCTCTTCTCTGCGCGTTTTCACTGAGACCGTGCCTTCTTGCCCTGGCGCCGGCCTTCGGCGTGCCGGCACTGCCGGGCCCGCGTCGCCTCACAGCAAGCAGAGCGCTTTGACGCCCCACGGCCCCCCAACACATGGGCCGCGAGACGAGGCTGGAGCTCAGCTGATGCCTCCAAGCGGAGGGCGATGAGGGCGGATGCATGTTACGAGCACGCCCTGTGACGCGGGAGGACCCTTTTAGGATGGGCCTGTGGAACATCTCTGATAGCTCTGCTCGAAGCCCTTCGTCTTTCAAGCCTGACATGCGAACATACGCGACTGGGTCGTTTAAGCCCAGTGAAGGGGAGCCACTTCACGCGGAGGGCCTGGCAAAGGGCTCAGCATGTCCCACAGCAGCAGCCGAGCTCCACTGAAAGCCTCTGTGCTCTGTGCACGAAGCACTCTTCTAAAAAACAGTTTGGCACCGTCTCCAACCCATCTCAGGCTTAGGCAATTGTGGGCCGGCGCCGCAGCAAGCGATGCAGCGTCGGTGCCTGCTTCGATGCCAACCATGCTCAAACAAACTGCGGGCATTTGAGCAAGGAGCAGGAGCACACTGCCTGCAGGTAGTTCTCGCATGCCCGAACTGCTCCCAGCAGGGCCACGGCAAGGCCACCAATGTGGGCAGCAGCATGCTTCGACCACCATCCTACATGGGGCTCGCACGTCGCAGTTCACCCCATGGTAGTCAGGAGGTTTCAGCTGACACCACTGACAGCTGAATGACCTTGTTGCTGGCTGGCTCGGTCAAGCAAGCGTACGGCCTCAAATCGACTTTCTGCAACACCGGATCGAGGCTCCAAGCGGACTCCGAAGCGATGCGAAGTTCGAAGCCCCGAGGTTCGGACCCACACCCAGGCTCCCGCAGCAGCACAGCCCTTGCGCAAACAGAGCTCTTGAAATGCTGTGCTGTTCCCGACAGCTCGGGGCCCCGCAAAACCCACAGCACTGAGACCTGCTGCACCTTCCGCATGGCGACAAGAGACCCTCACCGTGTTGACTGTGCATGCACCTTCTGGATCCGAAGCTGAGGAGAGCCTGCGTTTGGCTCTCGCATGGGAGTGATGGAGAGGTGCCCTGTAAAACCGTGAGACTCCCAGAACCCAGGAGACCTACTGCACTTTCGGCCCCGTCCTGTACGTTCGTAGAACTTCTAGCGCCACTTCCCAGCGCAGCGCACATGCACTTGCAGCGGTGTTGACGGCAACCTTGCAAATCTACGAAGAATAGTCGCTGCTTGCATGCACCCAGCTGGGGCCGCAAAGTCCATCATGGATCATGTGGAGCTCAGTCCTCCACCTGGTCCAGCACCATCGACTTGCTCCACCACGCTTGCAACAGATCGAGGGCCTGGAGGCACGTGGGTGAGGTGCGGCGCTCTGATCTCTCCTCTGCACTCCAGCAGGGTGTTGGCCGCCTCTGCCCATCGGCGGGACTGCTCGCAAGCACTCATTGTCGCGTTGTACACGTTCCGCTGCGTGACCGGGTCGTCGCTCAGCCGCTGCCACTGCTCCTGAGCTCAGGTTGGGAACACGGGGAAACAGGGCACAAGTGCTTAGGCCCACACGCAGAGCTCAGAGAGCCTCAGCTTGCTGCCATCCCTCTCATCACGGTGCTGAGACTTGCCATATCTTGCCATAGGGTCGCACGCACGCTGCCAAAGGCCACCCTGGCCACAAGCAGTGACCAGCACCAGGCTGCTGACAGCCTGGACTCGGTCAGGCCATCTTTGGCGCAGTTGGGCTTGGAGCACCCGAAAGCATGGCAAATCTGTGCACAGCACCAGGCAAGAGGGTTCCGGAGTGTAACAAGCGAAGTTCAAAGTCCAAAACAAAGAATGAAACAGACAGGGGGAGGGTACAGCACGGAAAGGGTGGGTGGATGACATGCAGAGGAGGAACGAAAAACTGCGCAAGAGAGAGAGAGAGAGGAACAAAACACCCGCAGAGAGTTAAAGAAAGAACAAGCATAAGAAAAGGCCAGAGACAGAGAGAGAGAGAGAGACAGAGAGAGGAAGAACAAACACTGCAAGAGTTGCATGCATAACGATGGCAACAACACCAAACAATGCAGTGCAAGAAAGCCATCAACTCTGGAAAGAGGGTTGGCTTCACCAGTGCATGATATTACCCCACTCCAAGACTGTGGCGTTCAGCCGAATGGAGCCCAACTTCTGGGCTAGGCCTGGGCAAAGGACAACCGCATGGCGGTACTGCCTCGCCGCGCTCTTGCTTCAACTCTAGATGCGATGTCCAATCCAAGGCATCGGCAAAGTAGCTCCACCGCTGCCGGCCATCGTGTTGCCCTGGTGCATATGAGCGCGCGCAGGGAAGACGATAAGGATAGAGACGCCCAGCCGCAGCAGATGCCTGGTCAATGCCAGCGCAGTGCTGTTCAGGCTGATTGCGTCCGGAGGTCTTCCAAGATCCTGGATGAAAGAAAAGAAACCACGACCGAATCAGCCAAGGCACAGGCCCCGACCGAGGAAAGCGAGACGAGAAGATGCACGGCCTGGCATCGAAGCTGGGTCCCACGGTGCCTGGCGGCGTCTCCTCTTAGGGGCCGGCCCATGTCCAACTGGTAGCCTTGGCGTTGGATCTTGCCCCGAAACCTCAAACCTCAAACAGTGTCATCAGCTGACCGCGGCCGAAGCTGCCTTCTCGCATGCACTGATGCACGTGTTGTAGCTGACGACCTGCGTCCGCTGCGTCCATGCTTAGGAGTTTCGTCGTCCCTCGGTCACCCTTGCAGCGCTCAGGAGTCGACATCCGGGCGCGGCCAGCCCTTGATCAGATGGGAGCTCTAAAGTCCACCATCGGAGCGTCTGCGTGAGTCCTTGTCGACGTTCATGGCTGCCAGGAGATCGAGGGCCTTGCAGCGCTCTGGATTCCCTCTTCTTACACAGTTCACCATTGTCCACCATCACCCCGGTCGCCTTGAGCCACTGCGAAGCTCGTTCACAGCCCGAAAGCACTGCGTTGCAACCTGAGCCGCTGCAAGAAAGCATTCGGAATCTCTTCTGTTAGTTGGGGGGCCCGAACCCGGCAGAAGGCAACCAACGACCGCGGTGAGGCCTGCCAGAAGATGGTGGCGAAAGACACACTGTGACACAGAGCTCTCAAGGGCATCCTTCGCCAGGTGGAAGCGGGCGGCACTCATTATCGTCCAGCCTTTGACAAGAGAAGCCTCTTCTTCCACATGCGGGCATGTGCGGGCACGCGCACTGGGAAGCAGGCAGAAGCACAGGAGCCCCTTTGAGCTTCAGTGGCCGTGAGAGTCCTTCCATCAGAACCACAGGGAACACCATGTCACTTGCAGACACAGCGGCTCTACGACTCGGACGGCTCGCCTCGTGCTGCGGAGCTCAAGGCGACCCGACAGCGGAGCTCCTGCAGATCTCGAAGCACACGATCCACAGCTTTTGGCGCTGCAAAGCCTCCAGGAGGGCAAACTGAGACTGCCAGAGCAAGGCTCCTCAGGAGTCATGTGGGTCCACGCATTCAGCTACCATCTGCTTCCGTAAAGGCCCTCTTGCAGAGATGTTGCCCAAGCCGTTGGATTTGCGATCACTTGCTGTGTCTTCTCAGCTTGGCAGTGTCGGAAACCCGCAGCTGCGCAGCCAAACTTGACTGCGCAAAGCTTGCAGCACTGACTGTGTCTTTGCTCCATCGATGCAATGTCTGGTCAGCGAGGGGATCAGTGTCTGATGCAGCCGCAGCCCAGATCCAGCAGCCCAAGGGCCAAATCCAAATTATGCCCTTCCCATGTCTGCACTCTTCGACCCCTGGCCCATGAGCATCCGACCCTCTACCGATCCTCTAAGGATCAGACGTCCGCATGCTGCCAGTGTCGTATTGTAGCTCACAGTGGACCTGCACTCAGCTGCTCAGGCGACCCCAGGCCCAAGAGACCATGTGCTCAGCGGGGCACAGGGGACCGATGTCATCGCGAGCATGCGCCTGGGCACCAAGAAAGCCACGAAGAAACGGGCGGCTAGCTGTCTCTAAGCTTTTTGAGGCTTCTGAGGCGCCTCGTGGAGCAGGCGTTGGACCAGAAGCCAGCTGCTTGCAGCGCTGCAGGATGCCAGCACTGAGTTCACGCCTGAAGGCCGAGGCCGACAAGAAATAGCCTGAAGGGAATTCGGAATGCCCCTTCTAGCAGTCGTATGCAGTCAAGGCAGCTGCTCACCAGGTCCGGTTGAACTCGGCCACCAGCGCAGTCTTCCCCACTCAGCGACGCAAGCTTCATCTCAGCAGGGGTCCAGCATGGTCATCCATACCTTCCAGAAGTTGTAGCGAAGCCTTACGCAAAGCTGCACCGAATTATGACCAGAAGGCAAAAGCAACGGCAAAAACCACCGTGGGCCGTACCTGCCATTGCTGCGAACGTTGCAAGCAAATGAGAGCAGCCTCAGGCAGGCGGAGCCCTGCACCCGACTTGTGTCACCCGACTTGTGGTACCGAGTGGCATTGAAGACCCCGGTCGTCAAGGGAAGTCGATGCGATCCCATGGCCTGCTCGGGCCGACTACGCCGACGCCACTCCCGCTCCCGATCCCGAGGCCCACCAACCTCCATCAGCACGAAGGCCAAATTCCAGCGACCTGGCAACCCGGTGAGTTTCCGCCGGCCTTGTGGCCTGCCGAGTTTTGCCTGACGTCCCAGGCAGCGCCTCGGCTTCTCGGATCGAAGCGATTCCACAAAAAGGGAGGAAGCAACGGGCTAAGGGTCGGACGAGTATGCAGGTGGCGAATGTGATGTGATCAGGACTCGGTGTCGATCCTTAGCGCTTTTGCGGATATGATAATTATGATAGGCAAAATTTGTCAGGCGCTTGCACGGTCATCAACCCCAACCCTGAATCCGCCTCCGCCACGAAGCATTTTCAGCAAAGCTTCCAGGGCCACCTGGCGCAGGCTGCGTCGGGTGACGAAGGGAGCAGGGTATGCACTGTATGCACTGTGTGCCTGCCATGCTGATCCGAGGCGACAGGCAGTGAGCGCCGCATTGACACAGGCTGTGCGTGTGAGCTGCCTGGCCTCACCGCTCGTACCGAATGTACCGAGTGCTGGAGAGGGAAGCTGCGAGAGAGCGGCCAGCGGCCTCCTGGGACGACAGCGCGTGCTCCAAGTCGGAGAGGGCCTCCACCTCGCGCCGACGGGTGCCGACGGCCACCCCTCACCCACACTGCGACGCCCGCGTGGCACCGTTTGCTCTTTCGCCGAGCGTCCCAGCGCCGCGAGCGCCCGAGCGACACAAGGACCTGGGGCCTGGATCAGCGAACTTTGAGAAGGCGCTGACAGGTCAGGCCACTGCACAGGGAGACAGACAGATAGACAGATAGATTGATGGATCAAAGAGAGATTGAGAGATAGAGAGACAAAGATATAGAGAGACAGAGAGATAGAGCGAGAGAGAGAGACACAGGAACACAGAGATGGAGAGAGAGAGAGAGAAAGGTGGGGAGATAGAGAGACACGAGCAGCGAGATGAAGAGATGCGGAGATCATCAGACAAGTAATCAGGTAAGAAAGCAGGCAGGTCGATAGATAGATGGTCAGATCGAGACACGGGGAAGGAAATGGATACAGTCCAGGGTTACGTTAGGTGTCGGTAATGCCCCAAATTGTCTTAGCTTGAGCCGGGCATCCACAGGCAGAGTCCCGTGCAAAAGCCATCTCAGGATCCAAGGCCTAAAAACATTACCAAGCGGCGATGTTTACAGCATTGCAAAAGTTACACTTTGGCATGAGCCTCCTGAGCACGCTGATCCGATAGCAGGTATGTTGTCGCAGTATCGTACTGGCATCAAAACACAACCGCAATGAGGGAGGGGGAGGGAAGGAGAAAGAAAAAAGAAAGACAAACAAATGGAAAGCGAAATCGAGAGAGAGAGAGAGCTCCAGCGAAGAGAGCGAGCGATTCTCTCGGATCTGCTGCTGAGTCGCAGACAAGGCCGCAAGTGTCCTCGAAGCGAACTTGGGTGCCATGTCGCCGAGCCATCTTGCGCATTGCACCCTACCGATAATCAGCCTTGGTTTCGTGTTTTGCGATGACGTGTGTTTCTGGTGTAGCTGGTCTGATGCATTTGGCGCAACACCAAGGAAGCACCTGAAAACATGCAGCGTGAATAATTATGCAGGGTACAGTTGCAGACACCTGCAGACAAGCCATCCTTTGCTCAAGTGTGGCCGTGCGCACAAGATCGTGCAAGCGCATGCAACGTTCACCGACATTCACCGCGCTGGTGTGTCGTATCTTCTAAGTCCTAGGCCTTGACAAATATGTCATCTTGACGATACTTTTTGAAGGCCTCAGGCAGCTCAAACGCCGGCCTGACAGCACAATTCATCATTCATGATATGATACGAACCCTTCTTAGCGATGCCCTCCATACATGAAGCCCAAGATGCTCGGCAAGAGGAAAGTTTTCCTGCCACACTGCGACCAAATTGTGACAACGCATGCTAGATCTAAACGTTTCAGATCAGTCCATGCACGGAAGTCCAGTGCCAATATTATGTCGTCTCTTGTAAGAAATACTGCACCACGGAACCCCGCCGCAATACTGGCGATGGCAGAAGGGAGTTTATGACCACCACCACCACCCGAGCAATTTAGCACCCGGAAGACACGAGGTATCCTGGGAGGGCACGATGTAGAGATCCGGTGGGATCATCCGGAATCTGGCGACGAGGCAAGCTGCCGACAGACAGTTTCTCTGTGAGCCATGAGGCCTCCGATGCATGTGCAGAGGTCGGGAAGCCTTTGGGTCAGTGCATGCACATGCAACTCTCCGACACGCTTTCGGCCTTGGTGATGGCAAGCTCGTGCCGCACAGACTTCTCCTTCGGCCGCACGACCAAGTCGATATAGCGTTGCTGAACTTCCTCCTGCAGTCTCGCAAGCTGAAGAAGCGTCTGTGGACTCCGGCCCAGAACGCCTCTCTCCGCTGCATCTCCCAAGAGATGTAAATCCTCAAACAAGTCGTCTGCGGAAGGGCAAGGGCAAGAGGACTCAAATGCTCACGAGGGGTCATCCGAGCATCTGACCACGGGTCTCCAAAGCTCACGTCGTAGCCACCGCTCTCGCCAGGACTGGATTCAAGCAAGCTTCCCTCCTCTCCGTTTGTAGGGCCACCAAGCCCCAAGCCCCAAGCCTGGCAAGCTGCAACAGCAGCTCATCATCTTCCGTCGTCCAGGGCTTGCCATCATTCTCCTCCAATACTGCTTAGAACAGGCGCCGCATGACTGCCCGGGCATTTCCAGGGGCTCACCAATGGCTTGCCAGCGAAGCGCTGGTGGAACTCATCGGCTGACACCCGTGGCCAGAGGCCTGTCACAAGATGCTAAAACGGGTTCTGGGCCATGGGGATAACTGCGGGAAAACGGCTTGGGAACTTGGGGGCAAGCCATGGTTGAAGAGAGTGATGTACTTGTCCAGACGCCGCTGCTGCTCGGCTGTGATGTCCTTTGCTTTCTCAGGGAGCAAGCGGGAGCCCCTGGGAGACATTGGCGCTCCTTTCCTCAGCTCTGGACCGGGATCCTCCGTATGTCGCGAGCCGACATCGAAATAAAGTCCTTCCACTGCCTTTGGGAGGCAGGGAGGCAGAGAGAGAGAGAACGAAGGACCGAAGGACCGACGGTCCTTAGCCTCTCAGGCTATGACTCAAACAGATTTGCCACATCTTCCGCGCCATCCCCGAATTTCATCTGTTCCAGGAAGTCTAGGATCGTCCATCCTTCGAAACACACCCAGGCTGTAACAAACTTATTCGGGAAGTGCCGTCCTTCTGGGGGAGGCAGCGCGTACTCCCGCCGGACCTGGAGAGACATGGTCCACGAGGTAGAAAAAATTCTGAAGCCCAAACCAGCCTCCCGAAGCTCAGCTTCAGAAAGGCTGTCCTTCTTCTCCCTCAGCCTTGAGCGTTACCACCACTGCACAAGCCCCTGGCAGTCACACTGCATGCGCCAAGGCTGCTGCGCTTTTCGAAAAGCCTCCCGAAACTTCACACCATTCAGTCGCACCTCTTCGCCTCATCTCGTCCAAACGCGCACCTTGAAGTCGAAGTATTGTGGGACGTATGCAATGTGCTTCGGGATCTCATCGCCTTCGCCGAGCCTTTCACCTGGCTGTAACATGGCTGCCAGAAGCGCGTTTAAGTGCCGATATGCTGCTTGCGCTGCTGAAATGACGGCGGCCCAGGATCACGGGCGCTCCCGGCGATGAACCTTTGGAAGACTAGTGGAAGACCGATGCCAGCACCCATCCTTCCCTGAAACGCAGCATCTGCATGCCAAGGAAAACATTGAACACATCTGAGCAGCAGCCGTTTGGACCAGGTGCGCAGAAAGCTGGCAACTACGGACTCAACAAATTCTGATGAAAGTGTGTAAACTGGTCTAACCGACAAGCTTTACCCCATCAGTTTGACCAGGCACATCAAACAACACCGAGGCATGCACGGTACCCATGAAGGCAGCATGTCCAAAGGCGAAAGGACCTTCAAGGCTGCAGGGTCCCAGCGCCGTCACCAGCCAGAGGGATAATATACTGCTACGAGTAAATTCCTCTTGGACCCATGCGCTATCTCAACACATCTTCAGTACTCAGGGCTCGTGCTTGGTGCTTCGGACGCGCTGCAGCATCTCCCTTTAGCAGTGCACCGCGCGGAACGAGCACATGCCGATGCAATCACGTGAGACATAATCATAGGATATATGAGGATGCGTTTCAGATTCCGGCTTGGCATGTAAGTGCTTCGATCTTGATTACATGCAGCAGGCTCAAGGCTCCTTGGTTGGGATGGAAGACAACTTCAACCATCACAACGAGCATGGGCTGGATGGAACATGAGTCGACTTGTGGAGGCGCGTTCTCTGAGCACTTCAGCTCTCGAGACTTCTGTTGGACTGTCTGGCAGGCAAATATCAACACTGATTTCGACAGTTTTTTGAAAGCCTCCCCTCGCTGCACCCTGGCTCCTGCATTTTGCAGGGACCCTTCGCAGGTCAACGTGAAACAGGAAACCTCCAAAACATTAACAAAGCACAGCACACTCACTCGAAATGCTGCTGCAAGACGCCGCGGCTGTGCCAGTATCCCTCATCAACTCTGCGAAGGCCGTCGAGCGCTTGTCATGGGGCTCAGCAGAGTTGCCTTGCGCCGGGAAGATAACAACAGCTGTCGCACTCCCTCTTTTACAGGAAAATAGTAAGTGCTCTGGACCGCCTGCGCAGAAGCTGCCGCAAGGAGAGTTGCATGCGGCTGGCCTCTCAACGGCTTGGACTGCTTGGATTGTCAACAGCTTCAATCTTGCTACGGCACGGCCCTGCAATCGGTCAAGCCTCAAGCCGCAATGCATGCTATGCTGTCGGATCACGACCTGAATAAAACTCTGTGCGTCTTGCACTCCTTTTTTCGAGGCGGTGCGATGGTGTCGCATGCCTTCGGAGTCCCTCACAGGTTGCTGGTTCGGTTCTACGGTACGTGGTCTGTTCCGTTCAATCACAACTTCGCATGTCGTTCCAGCCACTGAGGACACGCTTATGTGGTTATTCTACAAGCAGCTCGAATCCTTACGTCTTGCAACCATGGCAGAAGCAGGCTGCGGCCTTCAGGCCGAAAGCGGAGCTGCGGAATAGGCGGTGGCAAGGGCGGCGGCGGCCGCGAGTTTGACACCAACTGCGGAGTTGACCGCGATGATGCGATCGATCTGTAGCCACCTGTCCCAGCCGCAGGCGCCACCGCAGGCGCCACCGCAGGCCCCGGCGCGTCGGGGCTCGGAGCCTGGCAGGCCAGACTCTTCTGTGCAACGGGAGCGAGAGCTCCAGGGCCTCCGAAGGCTTCGGACTGGAAGTTACCTGCGATGATGTTGGCGACCCATCGGATTCGCCAAGAGCTGCCTGAAATCAGGTCCCATCAGCATCATCTCCAGCGAACCGTAGCATTCGCAGATGGTTTTTGTGATTTGCAGTATCACGTCTAATAGCGAGGCAGGGGATCTGTCAAACCTCCAATGGGGCGGTCACGCACTCACCGGACTCGGGGTCCTTGCGAGATAGAACTATGTCAGCCGGAGTTGGGCCAATGATTGGGCCTGAGAAGCCTGAGATGCCCAGTTCCCCACACTGCATGATTAACGGACCGTATCAGTTGACATGCATGAGACCGACTGCAAGGGTGGACTGATGCACAGGTGCGCATCATAGGGGGAGCTCTGCACAAATTCGCGAAATCAGTGAGAAACCAAGGGCGAAGGTTGAGGCGGCAGAAGGCCGGAGGCGACGCAGTTGAGCTGTTGATAGGTCGAACCGAATGACGTCCGAGGCACCTCCGACCCGCCAAATCACAGTCTGAATGAAAGCTGCGGCAAGCTACAGATAACCGTTCGTGACATCTACATGCTCAAAATTTGGAGAAACTTCCCAGCCAGGTGTCATAACTCACCACTAGCTGTCTTCTGATCTGAAGCGGCGTGTTCTTGGGAGGGCCGGCGGGGGCCTCCTCTCCGCCTGCGGTTCGAGGCCTGGGCCTCCGCTTCTCGCAGGGAACAGTTGGCCTGTGTCACATCTTCGCACAAATTTCAGCGAATTCTTCAAAGTGAAAAACATCCCAAACATACCCGCCTCTTGGGCAAAGGCATGGAAGGAGATCGAGTCATCGCACTCTTCCCTGCAGGACTTCCTGCGAAAAGACGCGCTGTTTGGACGGCAAGTTCTCACACTGTCGTTTGATGTCACGAGCGGAACTGTTCGCCAAGTTCAAGAGATTGGCTCTGCCTGACTCTGCCGCTGATGCACCTTCTTTTGCGGAACCAGGCGGCTTTGCACCTGATGCTGCTCATGACACGCCGCGTTCAGCATCCGACATGCAAGAGGTGAAAGCCTGCACAGCTGGCTACTGGAGTCCTGGTGTTGAGTGCACGCCAAGCGACCGCTGGCTGCTGGGACCTTTCTTGCTGCGTGCACAGCCGAGTCCTCCAGGCACAAGCCCATGGGTGATCAGATTTTGACCACTGAGGGACGAATAGGAATAGGCCTCGAAGGCTCGAAAGTGGTGTGAAGAGCTAAGAAAAGGAGAGCGGGTCAGTGTGCTTTGCAATTGCGATCAGCACAGTCGAAGCGAAGACGGGTCATTCGCAGGGGCTCGTGAGCTCGCGCGAGTCCTCGGACTTCCAGCTGCCAGGAAATGCAGGAAGCGGAGGTGGAGCCTGCGACCACGGTCGCTACGCTGCAGCCTCGTTCTGAGAGACTCGGACCTCCGCCAACCGGGCGGAAAGAGGTCGGGAAGGTGCGCATTGCCTCAAGCACTCCAATACTATAATCCTCGACCTGTCTGAATTGTTTCACAATGCTCCGACGAGATGACGGCTGCCAAGGAACGGTCTCGAAGACTCGCTTCTCTCTGATGCGGGCTCCGAGGACCGCTGCCGCTGAACCCGAAACCTTCCACACTTTCCGGTCCCCTTCATCATCCTTCATCTGCGAGCCTTGCCTCAGGTCGTTGACAGATGCCGAGCGCGACAATGCTGCCTGACGAAAAACAGGAAGGTGCGGGATCGTACGTTTTGGCATGTTGTGAGAGCCTCTGCAGATCGTGGTGGAGGCTCGAACCTCTCGCTGTCCACCTTCAGTGCTCATGGTCTGGATCTGCCAGAATGTGATCTGCTTCTGTGGGCCTTTTGTGTATCACCGTCCTCGGCGCCAGCAGGTCCTGTCATAGCAAAAAGCTTTCACTCAACGAAGGAGCCGAGGCCACAAGCTCGCCTAGCGACTTCTTCCGGACGATCGAGCCCCTGAAGAAGGTTAGCCTGCAGGGACGGGCACAAGTCACGAAAAAGGGTGCTGGTCAAATGGGTCAAACCCGAAAAACGCAACGGAAGTTGGATTAAAATTCAAAAAAGGAAGGGTTCCTGTCCAGACACTTTGGGGGTCTGGGACAAGGCCCTTGGTTGCAAGTACCGGGTCACGGCCTCGAGCACAGTAGACCGTTGGCGTTCGCAGCTCGAGCGATTTCGGCATTCAGGGTTTGGGGTCCCAGCATTCCTCCCTTTCACTTTCCCACTCGCCGGCCTGTCCACATCCTTCGGAAGCCGCTTGGGCTGGAAGGCAAAGACGGTCCGCCCACGGGTATTTTGGAGCATCAGTCATGGAGCACCAACATGCAACCATGCGGCATGGCTCAACACTGCTGCGCAAAAAAACGCAGAAGAGAGTTTACCACTGGCCACTACCGATGCACACTGGGCCAGCATTCCCCACACTCCAGCTTTAGCACATGCTCAATCCGGCTGATGCACAGCATGCTCACCTCAGCAACGACAATCGAAAGAGATCTAGAAAGGAGGTGTGCATTTCACGACACATTGTACCTGACAGGTTCTTGTTCACGGGTACAGTGCTTGAGAAACAGCTTCACAGGCCGGTTGTGACAACAAGGCTGTCCCTTTGGGAGGAAGCTGGAGACCTCATTGACTTATTGTCGCAAAGCTCGGCACACTCGACTCCAGAAGGAACAAGAAGCAGCTGGCTCATTGCTGGGCTTCCACCAGACTGCCAGCCAGTCCTGTATGACACTCGGCTAGACGTGTGCCACCCGTGCAGCTCCCTTTTGTCCGGCATGTGAATGCGACACGTGGAGCCGTACAGTACACCACGCCCATCGCGTCGGGCAAATGTAGAAACAACGATCTTGTTGAAGCTCCCGTGCCGTGTTGAAGCTTGGTTGGATCGGAGACCACGTCCGAGACCATTTGCTTGTGCCGGGACGACGTCCTTCGCTGTTGCGAAGTTTAGCAACTACCTCTCATGTGCCCCAATCCCTAATCCAATTGCTGGGCATGGACGAGGAGCGCAGACAGACCACTGCTAGGCCAGGCAGTTAGCAGCAAGGTGTTGGGCCTAAGCTGTCTGATAGTCTTGCTCTTGGTGTTTGTCTTGATTTGCTTCTTTGCTCCATGCGATGCAGACAACCCTAATTACTACGAACCTAAACCCGAAACCTTACGCTACGATGGCCCGACCAAAACTGCCAGTATTCCTCCCGCTGCTACTACCTCCCCGAAAGCAGCTGAACGTCGGCAACAACGTGCCACAATGGTCCTCGCGAGTCCAGGATGGAGCCTTCAAGGTGAGGGTCGGCGAATGCCAACGACCGAAGGTTTCACGGCTCTTCCTGGTGCACGTGAACTCAAGGTGGTCATCAGCAGGCTTCCCACCCCAAAGGCGGTCCTCGGGCAGAGCCCAATCTGGAAGTGCCTCGTCGTAGAAGGTGTTCGGAGACCACGTTTCCCAACCTGCGAACTGCGGGCGCAGAGATTCCACATGACAGTCGATCACGCGCCAGCAAGTTTGTTCCAGAAAAGGAGGCGAATCCCGCCGTCGGCATCACCGAATGGCGGTGGGACCTCGCTGGACGCGCTGCCTGCGCAACTCGGAAGCATCCCGAAAGCACCTCAAGGGTAGACATGGAGTCGGGACATACAGAAGGCCTGAGGAGCCCGTGTCCATGGGCGGTGGCGCTTGGGTCGCAAAGGTCATCGCTGTCGCCTGTGAGCATGAAAGAGAGCAAACAAGATCACGTTAGTGGACTCAGAACATGCATTGCTTGCTGGAGTTCTGCCTGTCGCGTCCGCGGAAGGGGCGGGGGTCGGGGGAGTTGTGGAGCCCGCGGGACAGCAGCGCGGCCGCCCAAAGCCACCTTCTCAATTTTTATTCTCAAAGCAATGTTTGCGATGGAAACGTCGTGAAAACGGACAGCAGCACCAACCGCAGAACCACGCTAGATCACACTTGCTAACCTGTAAAGGATCAAAACGATTCACAAGGAAGTTACCTCCCCAAGACTTTAGGGATCGGACTCTGGGCACTCAGAGCGAACGTAATCGAAACCTTCGGCCTGTTGGGCATTGGCGCCCGCCCTGCGAGCCTGCAAGCTTGGACATCAGGCAAGCCCGCAGCCCGAGCTAGAGCTGACTTCTGGTCCCGAGACGTTCCGAAAGGAATGGCACCAGAAACTGCGACTGCATGCTGGGCTCAACCCGGCTCAAAGCTCCAACGCCAACCTCGGCAGCCTCCTCGATCTTTTCCGTCAGCTCCTGGCCAAGGCTACCGATGGGACACACCGCACGGAAGCATGGGACGGAGGCACCTTCATTGCTGCACGGCGCTGGTCGCGCCTATCCTGTAGAAGGTCCAACATGTAGCCCACCTGGCCGCGAAGGGCTCAAACTGGGCCGCCCACACAATATGCAAAGGTCCGAAACTATCCAAAAGCCCTGCAAAGGCAGTCTCGGACGTCGACGTGATCGAGGTCCGGGACCTCATCGAAGTCCACCTTCAACACATTTCTGTCTGGGGCGCGCTATGCCCTTTCGACAAGTGGGCGAGGCAGTTAGTTATACAGGTGCACCGCAGCGATTGCATGCCATATGGCAGGTGACAGGACCCGACGCGCTTTCCCTCACGGCTATCGATTCTCGCTTCTGAGAACTGCCCCGGACTGAAGCAAACCAGCCTCAGGTTCAGGTGAAGCCGCCTCTCCAGTTGGACACCGCTCGCCCCTGAAGAACTCACCATGTCGTCAAGTATTCTGCACTGAAGCTGCTCAGCTACGGCTTTACTCGGCACGCTGCACATTCGCAACGGAGGCGGCCACAGCCTCAGCAAGCAAAAGAACCTGTCTCCTTGTGAAAACTGTCTGATGCCGGCACCGCGGCTCTGCCCTCTTCCATCTCCGCCAGGTCGAGAAGAACCTGCACATACCACACGGCAAAATCCATCCCAAGCGACTTGAAACACCTCCCAAGGCACGGACGTCGCGACGCTGATCTCTCACGTCCCTTGTAATTTGCATCGTGAGTGGAGCGATAGAGGTGAGGGTGCCGCAGGAACACTCAGCACTACGCCGGCGCTCGGAGCCAGGAGCACCATGCCTCGGCTGGTTAATTCACAGGTACCTGCTCGTCAACTGCAGGGATGGCGGGATGGTGCCTTCGGATGTAGGCGAAGCCGGCAAGCGCGGCGCCTGCGTGCATGCACAGTGAGACATAACTTCCACAATGGTTGCTGCCGCCCAGAAGCCGCATGCCAACGCCGTGGTGGCCAACATGAGGAGCACTATGGAGAAGAAGGCGTCCTAAAAACAGGCCCGGAACTCGCCACGCTACTCGCTCCCATTTCGCTCCCACCTCTTCTCTGGTTCGTGCCTCATGCTCCTGGCCGGCGGCGAACACTGCCCGGAGTACTGACGGCCGCTCCCAAAGCGGCCCGTCTGGCCTCAACGCATCCCTCAACGGCACTCCGGTCTGTTGAATGTCCATGACGTTACTGCTCGGCCCCTTGCAGGTCCACAGGCTCTGGAAACAGCGTCGGCATCGCAAGGAGATCACTTGAAGAAGCAAAGTCAACCAGAGTGCTTGCAGTATGAAAAATAGCGGCTAGCCTCTTGAACAGCACAAAGTCTTGGACGACACACTCCATGTCTGAACTTGCGATCGCATCATTCAACGAAGCCTAAAGCTTCTCTGCAAACCGTCGACGGGCGTCAAATGGATGTACTCAGCCATGATCCTTGAAACGCTCAAGGTTAAGCTGTCCGGCCAACCAGGGCATGGCAAGCACATGCACCAAGCACCATGCCTTCTTGCAAGCAGCATGCTTCTAGATGACGAAGAATGCGTGAGGCAAACTTCACACACGCACGGCTGGAAAAAGACTCTCACTACTCAAGACGCTGCAGCTGCCCTTCACTTTTCCACTCGCCGGCCTGTCCACATCCTTCGGAAGCCGCTTGGGCTGGAAGGCAAAGACAGTCCGCCCACGGGTACTTTGGAGCATCAGTCATGGAGCACGAGCATGCAACCATGCGGCATGGCTCAACACTGCTGCGCAAAAGAACGCAGAGGAGAGTCTACCACTGGCCACCACCCATGTGCACTGGGCCAGTATTCCCCACACTCTAGCTTTAGCACATGCTCAATCCGGCTGACGCACAGCATACTCACCTCAGCAACGACAATCGAAAGATCTAGAAAGGAGGTGTGCATTTCACGACAACCACACAGCAAAGCTTCATGGAATCCTCTGCAACTTCCAGGCCTGGCCTCTGTGCCAGAAATGTGGCGGTAACATGCCGGGACCTGTGTGAGAAGGGCAAGGGCCCGCGCATGCAGTGCATGGGCAGATGTCGCTCCCTGCACTGAGAAGCAGAAGCCGTTTCTCCTTGCGCGGCTATGTCAGGCCCAAGGTCCGGCAGAGCAGCTGCAAGGCCTGGCCAGCACCTGCAGAAGGAGAGCGAGCGAGCTTTGCAGCAGTTAGTCTAGTGTTGGCCTCTTCGGCCCTGTTAGGGTGCAGACCTGCCTGGGCCTTCCAAATCTGCAGTGGAGGCCACAGTGGGCGCACTCTCGTCGGAAGCACCTTACAGCGGGCCGCCATGGCTTGCGTCGGTGCAGACAAGAACAGCTCCTGGGGTGCTGACTCGAGGGGCAATCCGACGTAACGGATGAGTCCTTTCTTGCAGTCATCTAGAAGCCGCCGCCAGGCACTTGACACATGAACGCCTCGTCTGAGCTTTGCAAAGCCGTTGCCCGCATGGGTGCACCTGACATGCCAACAACTCACCTTAAGAGTCTAAAGCAGCCGGTTGAGCCGTGGGCTTCGTCGCGTCTTGGCCGCCTCCCTGCCAAGTAGTATCAAGTAGTTCAAGTGGTTGAATTTCGTAGGAATAGCCTGGCTTAGTCACTTAGTCTGGGCCTCAGCATTTGCATCGCCTCACCGAGCTCTTGCGAGGGCTCCTCCTGCCAAGAAATGGGCTCCAAAAAGGGCCCGGCCGGACAAGTTCAACACTCCTGCGCTGCCATGTGAGCAGCGGCGGTGCAAAGGCTTCGGAACACCTCCGGCCTCTCCTGCGAGTAGCGGCCAATGCGTACACGACAGAGCAGCACACGTCAGCGACGGCCTCCACTTCAACACAGGCTGCCAGGCGTGCAAGAAGCACAGCTGTCGCCTGATGCTGCTCACCGACGCTTGACGCAAGAAGCAAGCTATTATTGCACACGAGCGGCGTTGCCTTGCAGAGCGGCACGTGCCTGACAGAGCGGCCCGGCTGGGCCATGGCAAGGCCCAAGGCAGAGCGATTCCCACGACAAGACGAGGCCACAGGCCTCGCCAGCTCGGCAGTCGCCCCTCGCAACTCCCGCTGCTCGAGGAAACCGCTCAGGAGCTGCGCCAATCCTCCGATAGCACGATGGAAAGGCTGGTCAGAGTTCTATGCCGAAACCGAGTTTGAACTGTCAAGCGGAATACCATTTACCTGGCAGGGCTGCAGAACGTCCGCCGCTTTAGAACCGTGAGTGGAGAGAGGCCCCTTGGCAGCCGGGCATCGACTCCACTCCGGCGAGGCCAGGTCACCAAACACGGAGTGCAGACCTTGAGGGCTGCCATTAAAAGGCGCTCACTCAGATGCTCGTGCGGCTCAGTATGGCAGGTCACTTCGGCACCACCAGACAGATCAATGCAATGAACGTCAACCAGGATCCCTCACACCTTCCGTTCACGGATAAGCTTGATGAGTGGAACTGTGACCCTGAGGTGTTTCCAGGACTTGCCTGGCCTCGCTTAACAAAGCCTCGCATTGCGTGGGTTACGGATTGTGACCACCTCCCTTCCCCCACTGGCGTTCAGACTGACATCCTATTGATGTAGCAGCAATGTGAGCTACAGTACCGAAGCGACCTGTGGGCTGCTGAAACTTCCCAAGTCGCCGGTGCACTGAAAAGCCCCTCTCATGGACTCTTGGGGGATTGCAGGAAGTCTGTCACTAGTCTGTCATGCCATGCACTCTGCATTGCAGCGAAGGGTCGGTAAGGTAAAGTTGGGTCGAGTGGGCCTTACATGCAAAGATGTACGTCCTGGACTTGGGCTCAGGCACTGCGTGGATGCCACGAGAGCAGCAAGCGCCTGGACGAGAAAAGGCACTGACTGCTGTCCTCTCTTTAACTGTTGTTCCCTCAATGAGCGCAGTGCCCGCAGCAAGTCAGGTCGAGGTCGTCGGGCACAGCATTCCAAGCCAGCCACCGCGACAGCTCCCGGTGAAGGTGCCAGTGGCCCAAGCGCGACGCAGAAACGCACTGATGCTTCGGCCGACACCCCAGAAGATAATGAGTCGCATTCGTCGCGCAAGCCATTCTCCACAGCTTGCAGGCAGGTCTTCAGAAACTCTGGACGCCTGGATCCTGTATCAGCCATCAACTTGATCCAAGTCCCTGAAGCTTCCAGTGCAGCAGAGCGCGCCTCTACGCTGTACGCGCTGGTCAGCATTTGCTGCAGCACGGCCACCATTTTTCGTCCGGCTGTCTTCAGGCTTTCAGCTGTGTGTCGTGTGGAGTGCTGTCTCATGGCAAGTACACTGATCAAAGTGCAAAGCCTCTGTGCAATGCTGTCTGCCAGCTGGGGTTCCAAAGCATCTTGCTGAAGTTCCCCAAGTTCTCCCAACTTTTCACAGGCCCACATCAGCACTGCCACGCCGCTCTGGGGCGGGCGAAATGCTGGCAGCAGCCGCCCACATGCTGATCCTTAGATTGGGCATGCGATGCCATGGCAAAAGCCAAGAACTACAGCACTACAAGCGCCATGAAGACGCAAAAGACCCAATCCTCTACACTGTTGTCCTGTTGTTCAACACCAGCGACGGTCCAGAGCCGTCTCCGGCAGATATGTTCTTGGGGCCGGGTTGCTGGGACAGGCGGCCTCAAGCGCGGCCAGTGCATGCGGGAAGGCAGGGTCACGAAGCTGCAAATATTGCAGCTGCTGCAGAAGAGGAGGAAGCAGTCTCTCTGTGAGCCTTGCTGAGCCGCAGCGTGTCTCAGCAGGGATTAGGGCACACAGATCAGCAACCAACGCAAAGGCCACCACGTGCAGGGCTGGTTGTGCCAGAGCTCGCAACACAAGTCTTGAAATACGATGAAGCTGCTTCTTCACACCCGAAGTGCACCCTGGTAATACCGCCCGCAGGCTTGCGAGCGCCGCAAGCTTGGCGGGCAAGTCGGAGCCCATCAAGGTCCGACATGCGCTGCGGTAAATGATTGGCAGGACCAGCTTGTCCGGCATCCGCTTGGAGATACGTGTGAGCAGCGCGTACTCGGCCGCGCTCTGTGCTGAGTTGCCGACAAGATGCCCTTCGTTTGAGTGTGCACAGCTTGCCTTGGCTCGCACCTCGTCCGGCGCCACAAGTTCCACCAAAGTCACCAAGACCTTCTCTGCCGACAGCTGACCCTCACCCTGCACGCAAAGCAGCCGGGAGTGCGAGTCAGCGATGCTGTGGAGCAAACGCAGTGCTCTGAGACGCCGCTGCCCTCGCTGCGTGACCGAGGCCGTGAGGGCAAGTTGGACGACTCTGCAGAGCTCCGAAGGCGGTTGGCCCGGCACATAGAAGGATGCATCTGCAATAAGGAGCTCGTCGGCCGCTGCCGCTCGAGATAATGCTTCCAAGGCAGCATCACAGAGCTCGCTTCCCAAAACAGGGTCACTGACAAGCAGTCCGACAACCTGGTGATGAAAGAGGCGTGCGGCTTCCTCCCCCCTGACGATTGCGGCAAGGCTCCCAAGGCATTCGATGGCACGCTCCGCATGAACCTGCCGAAACTTTGCGTCACCTTCCTTCATTACGGAGATGCAGATCACGCAGGTCCCACAGAGCTCCAATAGATGGGGCTCGAGAAGACTTTGCCACGGAGGTGAGACCAAGAGTCCGCCGAGGAGGCACATGACGCCATGAAGTTGCAGAGAGGCCACTGCAGCCAGTGGCCGCTCACCTTTGGCGGCGACCTTTCTGATCCACAGCAGCAGTTCTAACCACATGACACCCTCTGCTGCAAGATTGCAAGCTACAGCGGCAACGCAGTCTGCTATGATCTTTACCGCAGAATCGCTCGACGGAAATTCCATCGCGTGCAGAAGACGAGCTTGCAGAAACATCCGGTCTGACACAGCCAACGTAGGCCAGCATTCCTGCATCCGTCTCCCCAGCAAGACACTTGCCAGGTGATTCGGAGGGCCGGTCTCCAAGACGGAGAGCAGGTCCAGAGGATGGGATGACAGGCACCTTGACTCAAGATGCTGCCGTTCCCGTGGAGAGAGGGGCAGCAGCAGCTTGGCCAAGTCATCTTGCAAGGAAGCCATCAAACCATTCTTAAATCCCGTGTTATCACAGATGTGTTGGCCAGGCCTTTATCCTGGCTGGGAGGCTGGGTTGGCGAGGCTGGGGTAGGCGAAGAGGCTGGCCTCAGCCAGGACTTGGCTTGGCTAGGCTCGGCCAGGTCAGGCAAGGCTGGGCTAGGCGAGGAGCTAGGCTGGCTAGGCTAGGCGAGGAGCTAGGCAAGGCCTAGGCTGACTAAGTGACTAAGCAACTTGCGCATGGAGCCGAATGCGGCGAGAAAAAAAAGCTTCGGACACCTGAGTCTGAAGGCTGCGCAAGGCTGCATGGAGTGTCATGACTTTGGGGCGGCACGATGCTGCAAGGCCGTCTCGAGGCCTGGTTTCTTGACAGTCCGTAAGAAGTGACGGCGCTCGCTCGGTTGGGTGCTGACCGTGGTGGACTCGTCGACGAGAGCCTCTTCGGTCCGGAGGCCACGAGGCCTGGACAGCGGCTCTGGTTTGCTTTCCTCGAGGAGTGGGACTTGAGGTGCTCGCTCATGGAGCTGCCCTCGATCGCTTCAGCGCCTGTAAGAATGCCAGAAGCTCGAGCAGAAGGCACCGAAAGGGGCTGTGGTTGATCCGTGCGACTGCACGAAGCATGTCGTTCTCCAGGGACAGCTGCACTTCCTAAGCTCAAGAGCGGTAGCCTTGCAGCCTATTCGCCGCGTGATCTGTTTGTCTAAGAATTTCACCAGGCAGGCCAATGAAGGCGCAGGCAGATCCCCAGCTGCTCCGTGGGAGGCGGCAAGGCACAGAAGCTCCACCTCAGAATCCATCGCACTAGCACTGGACACCACTGGATTAAACTTTCAAGCTCAGGGAGGCACCCAACCCTCAGCCAACCCACCTCGGCATGTCAAGGTCTCCGCTGAGAGATGGAACAAGACGTGAAGGGTCCAGTACAAGAATTCTTGTTCTCCCTACCAGTACAGAGAACAGCATCCACCGAGACTTCGGAGTCCAGATTAGCTATCTTCCCATCCCGTCAACTCCCGCTCCCAGACTTTCGGTGGTGGTGGCAATCCAGATGAAGGCATTTTGAAGTCCCCGCTGTGGCCCTCCCTGCGGGTTTGGGAGTTAGCCTGGTTGGGCTTCGGTGGGTTGGCGCCGAAGGAAGTTCTCACCACGCGAACTGTACAGCCACGGCTGCTAAGTGGGTCGAGGCGGGCAGTGATCAAATTAGCGGATCTGGACAGTGCAGACAGAGCAAAGTGCCGTCCATGTCATCGAGGGCAAGCGCCATGGCATGGCAGTCACGGTCCACCTGGCACAGTTCTTTCGTCCATGCATGCGATGCCGGAAACCAGTCAGTACACTATCCAGCACGGCTGGACTCGCGAATGCCTCTTCGAGCAAAGCCCCAAGTTTGGTGGCAATGGACATTGCAGCGCTGCCCTGGCAGACTGACAATCGCTCACAAGGGCCCGGCCGTTCCCCTCTTCCCTCATTACTCTCCCTGTCCTGGTCACCCTCTTCGCGCGAGCTCAAGCTCTTGCAGGCCTGCGACTGAAACAGGGCTTGGTCTGCACTGGCGCGAGGCATTTCCACCCTGCCTGGATTAGATGACCGACATCTGACCCGACTCCTCACATGCTCTCATGTGACTGCCCTGTGACGAAAGCTTGTGACGAAATCTCCCTTCCTCAGGAAGTGGAGGTGCCTGGCCTTGTCGGATGGGCAGATCAGATTCGTTGCGTTGTGCTAGGACGCTGTGGGCGAGCATGCCTTGGGCATTCGCTTCGAAAAAGCGAAGTTCCCCGAAAGAAAGAGGCGGAAAGAGACATCGCTACTTGCGGCCGACCGGCCTACTTCCGTGGGAGTTCGAACAGGGGACACCTGCACCAAACCACATGGTAACAGTCGCTGCCATCACCGGCAGCAGGTCCACACCTGGCGTGAGTGGTGGAATTCCAGCTCCGCCTGCTCAGAGCGCATCTTGGCGCAAGTAGTCTAGAAACAGGCACGCAAGCACCTCCATGCACATGGTCCGGACGGAAGTTCTGTCTGCCTCTGCGCCAGATGCCAAGCAAGCTAAGCAGGACTGCATGTTGGGTGTCAATGTGTACATGCATGAGCACATGCATGGATCGATGCTCTGCTAGTGTGTAAAACCAGACTGACGTCTCCCGGATAGGTTGGTGGGCAGGGGGCGCTGGGCACGGGCGAATGACGCTGGGACTCCCACCTCTTTTGAAAGCTGGGCACGAATCTCTGAGATGCCTTGATGAACTTCTGCATGCAATGCTGACCTTCGCTTTGCTCGGATCATGTGCCAGAACCTGTGCCTGTTACATACTGAGATCCGCTAGATACGCATAAGAGTGATGCAACTCGTCAGCGCCGTGCTCAGACCTTGGTGCAAGCTGTTGCCGCTTACTGGCGTGAGAAGGTCCTGAATGCCAACCACGCCGCATCTCAAATGCCATCTGCCGCAAACCAAAGTCACTGTGAGCGGAACTTTCGCGGCTTTGTCATACTGAGGGTTGCTTTGAGGATCGCAACTGGCGCAACTGGGCAGGTCTGTCTTTCGTGAACGCAATGAAACCACAAAAACACGGCAGCCTGAGCCAAACAGGATTGGCGGTGACCAAACTGTCAAACACCGCAAACCACACGAAAACGTGCTACCTCCAACACTACCATTACCCCCACCGCCACCACCAACACCACCACCACCAGTTCGTTGTTTTGGCTCTTGTCGTGCTGCCACCGTGGCTGTTACTTTCATATTTCTGCCACCAGGATCATCGCTGCCGCTGTAGCATCATCATTGCATCTATTTGTCACTGACTAGTTGACTAGTATCGCCAATCCCGTCGATCCCATGATTGGCGTTGCCATCTTTATTGGTATCATGTTGCTGTTCCGGATCGTGCCCTTTTGGCGGTATGCCCTTGTTGTGCTTGTTGGTATTCGTGCTCCTGCGATCATAAAGTCTGCCGCCGGGCCAACACAACACTCTCTCCAATGCTGTGAGCGAACGTTAGTTCTCTGCATTGCTATTGGTTGTACATTTCCTGGCGAATCTTGCCATCAGTAAGCCCCAATGCCCAATCCCAAACCCCAAGCCCCTGGCCACGTTGGCCTTGGCTTTGGCATTCTTCGAATGCACCGTGACTTCAACCTGCGCCTCGGCCTTGGCCCTCGCGGTTTTGTGGAGCTGTGCGCAATGTCTTCGAATACAGCCCCTGGGGACTGAAGGAACAGTGGATCCGTGCACGGCACCCAGCTGTGGCTCTGCGAGTCCCCAACTATCCGACTATCCGGTCCTCGGCATGCTCCTCGTCGCCGTCTTCGCAAAAGGCGCGGCCGTCCTTCTTGCTCCTTTCCTCCAGTGCACGGTCCAGCCGGCGAAGATTAGCAATCACACTGTCTAAGGATAAATCGGCAGCCAACCACGTTAGCAGCCGCGCGTCCAGCTCTTTGTCCTGATACTGCCTGTAAAGAAGGTAGGCTTTGGCCTTGCCGGGAAGCTCCACGCCCCCAAGAAAAGCGCGCCAGGTACTCAGCCACTGTCTCCTGATGGCTGCGGGGTTGGCCGAAGAGAGCGGTCTCCTTGGCTCGGGGAAGCGATGTCTGCTGGTAGGGCTCGAAGGCTTCCTTCAGGGTCTTCACCACGGTCTTGACACCATCGTGCAGAAACCTCCAGCTGCCGAACCGTTTGTCTAGCTTTGGTCGGTACGGACTGCTCCCGAACAGCAGGATGGCCCGGGTATTCCTGATCCCCTGGGCTCGACCAAAGGTCCTGATCGTAGGCTCCGCAGCGGAAAGCGCTCGAGGAGAGATGGCTTCACTCGGCTCCTATCTTTTCCTTCCAACGGGCAGCTTTGAGACTCAAGAGGAGCCCTCAGGTGCACAAGGGTCCCACAGGACTGGCACTGCGCAATTCACAACCCCAAGATGGAGGAGCCGATTGCTCGGAATGGCGCCTCCTAGCTGTAAGGAGCCACCCATCCATCTCTGGGTAATGCTACAAAAACTGCATTCGATCATCATCGACCCCACTACAATCGTTATGTTCACCACTGACAGCATCCTGAGCTAGATGCGGCTCTCGCTTCCTGAAGACCTTGAAAAAGAACGATTTTTGTCTACGTCTATTACTAGATTACTATTGCTATTGCTATTCCTATCTTTACAAAGGAGCCGGTTAAACGAAACCCTTTCAAGCGAGCCAACTGAAGCGGCTGCTGCTGCTGCTGCGGCCAGCGCAAAGTGCTAGTGCTGGTGCTTGTGCCAAACCCTAAAACGTATCACCACGAACGACCACCACCACTACCACCACCGCCACCACACTTCTCCTTTCCTTCAAACTGGTACTCCCACCTCGACACGAGTATTACAGCAGTACAACCTGCTGATAGACAACAGGCCATTGTCGCTTTTCTTCGCAAAGCTGTCAACAGCCACGATTCTACGCAAACAAGAGCTCAATCTGCGGAGCTCTGTACACTTAAGCATCGCTTCGTGATCCAAGACACACTCTGAAGGAGACCTCAAGACTGATATACCAGGTTCCAGGAAGCTGACTCTTCGTAGTGGTTTCAAGTAGCGATGGTGCTGTGGAGTCGGACCAGAGACAGGCCACTCGAAAGGAGCCGTAATCAGCGCTCTCACAGCCGGGCGGGAAGTTGTCGACTGAGGACCTCGGACAAAAGATGCCGTGAGTAGCGTTGGCACCTGACCTCCGCCGGAATAGCATCCAAAAAGATGTGAGGCCCCAACGGAGAGAGATCCAAAGCTCAGGAAGCCGGCACCTCACAGAGATTAAATAGGGTAGGGGCCCAGAAAAGTTGCAGACGGCCGTGTTGCTGAAGGAGACAAAAAAAGCCCCGGGGGCCTGGCCTTCGGTCCTTGCGTGGAAACATGAACCTCCTCAGCGAGACTCGCAGCTCCGATCTCTCCGATCTCTCTGAAAGCGGATCTTTGCGGCCACAGGCTCCACCTTCTGGAGGACCACGGGTTTGGGGCTGTCTGGCTCCAAGACCCAACCTGTGGCTTTCTCATGGAAGCTACCGGGCACCTATGAAAAAGCACACCTGGTCGGACGATCTCACCCACAGCGTTCATCGGCAACTCCGTACCTGGACTTTGGCACCGACTCATTTGCCAAAAAAAGCATGCATGTGCTGCGCATAAGGCTGTGATATGCAAAGTAGAGGCGAAGAAGACAAGCCAAACGAGGGGTGCTTTCGACTGTGCCGACGTTTTCGTGACGAGCAGCCACGTACCTCAGAATAGGAAGGCTTTGAGGTTAGAATGCTCAGATCTCTCTCCTCGATCACTACGAAAATGTGGCAAAGCGGCGGCTCTCCAATTTCTACCTGCCGCAAGGCTCTGAAGTCTGAGCAGGCACCATGGCCTACCTTCCGTTCAGGGGCCCTCCTGGATGTTCCGAACACCAAATCTTTCGAAGGAGGCCTGTGCAAGGATTCGGCTTTTGAAAGGGGCATGGGATGTCGACACAGTTTCGCTCATCTTCCCGAAGCCTTGTACAGGTCTCGAGTAAGTGCAACACCCTGGTGGAGGCCCTGCACCGCACCTGCTGTAGGTTGCTCTCCAAGTTGCCGCTGTTCGAGAAAACTGCGCCTGTGTGCTTCTCAGCAGCAAAAGCATCGAACTGGCCGTAGACCTTGTTCGGCTTTGATGTCAGAAGTGAAAGCACTGCTGTCGTGTAACTTTCAGGCCTTGATCATTTCGGTGGCAAAATTTGCCATCGAACTTTTTCGCCTGTCCTGCTCAGGATGCTTCTGGATTCTGCCTTCGGCAATGTGTAATCTACAAAAACGATCAACATTATCCTCACGCTCTTTGGAGAACCGCTTCTTGTTGTTCTCAAAGTCGGCGAGTGACAAGAGCAGCCTGAAGCTGTGAAGTGACCAACTCGTGCTCCGGAGGTCCGATCAAAGGCAAGTACTCGTGCTTTCTCGCACGAACAGTCTCCTTGCATTGCAGGGGTTCTGGCAAAGCAATGAAAAATCGCCGCCAACACGGGCCTGCAAAGCTGCTAGTTCCTTCTCCAAAACCGCTGACGGCGCCTTCATGCGGTCAGATTGCAATCAGATCCGCCACGCCTCTGCTATGGTGCACCACGGTGCACCTCTGGAGCCTCTGCTTCTGCCGGCTCCTGCCACCATCAAACACAAGCAATAAATTACGTTGATCACTGCCATAGAAGTTGGAGCGACGGATCACTGGCTGTCTTAGGGCAACCCCAGCTAAGTCTGGCCACTGTTGAGTATTATGTAAGAGGATCTGTTGCAAAGGGAGATCCCGTCGCAACCTCTTTACAAGCAGGATCCCAGATGCTTTCTTCAACGCCCGGCTTTGTGCGCCTGGGCTGTCTCGTCCTTGTCGCTTGGAGGAGCTTCGGCGTCGTTCGCCTGTGCCGGAGCTGGTTGTAACTGCACGCAGTGAAACAAGGCCAGTATGTCATGGGGGGGTCTCTTTCTGGACTCTGCCAGCGCAAGCCCTGCGACCAAACTCCTGCTTCCGCAACAACAGGTGCACCTTGTCCTCTTTCGCTGTGTCGCTGGAAAACAGCCGCCTGCTTCAAGAGACTTGAATCGGATGACTGGCCGCAGCCATTGCTGCTCGTGCCTCGGCAGGAGACGGGACCTTGTAAGAGCAGAGAATGTGAGAAATGCTTGTCAAAGCCGCTTCATGCCAAGAGGTGCACTGTCTCTCCAGCGTCACCATTGCCTGTCATCAGATCCACCAGTCTTTCTGCTGGATGTCGTACTCTGGCAGGCCCGCCGTGTGGGGCAGCCCCCGTCTGCCGCAGGACGGCCGATATCCTTCACCACATGAGTACTAACGCGCAAGCCCACGACGAAATTGAAGACCTGTAACATCAGCAACCACAGCCCGAAGAACTCGCTGCCGCAATGCCTGTCGAGGAGAGCTGAGGGTTTGATCCGACCCACCAGGACAAGCAAGAAATGTCCAATGCCTTCATCAGACCCTCTCACCCCGCAAGGCTCTTCAAAGTGTGTCTGAGCAGAAATCAGCGCGACAAGGCGAAGGCATGCAGGCAGCACTCGTTCCTACTGGAACTGGAAAACCATGACAATGCCATGACATAGCGAGGCCGATCCTGTCGACTTTACTCATCAATGTCATGCGCCATATTGTGAAGCTGTCAACCTACTTCACAGCAAGCCTTGAAATGAGCGCTTGAAGTTGACCAGCCCAGTATAGTCTGCGTAGACCGAAACTTCCGATGCATTTGCCTTTGGATGCAAGGCGCAGGAAAACCCTTTGCATGCAACAAAGGTCATAATCATTCCTGCTTGGGGGTTAGAATATCCTGGATCCCTTTAAGGAAAGAAAGAAAGAGGACGTTTTTGTTTACCTTCTTGTGTGTCGATTAGGAAGCCTGTACCACAAAACGTAGAAAGGATGAAAAAGCTAGACCAAGATCGTGCTGATGAAACTGGCCTTGAAGATGACTTCAGAAGCCTCTGTCTGATATGGACTGGCGACTTGTCGGAACACCCCTCGTCCTGGAGGCAGACCTTCTGACAACCCACAAAGTCAAGAAATTTCGAGCTCCCCAGCTAGCTTCAAAGCAGATCTTCGGAACCTTACAGACGCCCAACAGGCAAGGCAGCCACAGCCTCAGGTTTAGAAATTGTGGCATGTTTCTGCGAGCGCGAGTCTTGAAAGTTGGAACCTCTTTGAGGTCACTACCGTGCATAGAATTCGCGCTCTCACGAGCTTGGCACGCAGACTCGCAACTCTAGCCAAATCTGACGGCAGAGTTTGCCTGAGCAGTGCCCAGTGGCAACGTAGTTCTGTGCGCAAAGCAAAGGCGTGGGCACCTTGTCCCCGGGAGTGCCGGGGGGCACTTCCTCCTCTCTCGGCTTCCGCATTCGGGCCTTCGCAGGCGACTTGGGAATCTGTTGCCTTGCTATTGGTCGCTTGATCTGGTCGTGGCTCACGGCATCTGCTCTTTAAATCTCCAAATCTCCCCTCGTTCCCGTGCCAAGCTCCAGGTTGGTCAGGAGCTGCATCTCAGGGCTACGTTTAGGCCATCCCCTCCTCGTCGTAATCGCCTTCCTGTGACTGCCCACCTCGACCACCACCACTGTACCACCACCAGCACCGCTCTAGCTCTTTTTGATTAGTGACTAGTGAAGAAAGCAGCTAGCGGGGCAAACGAGAACAGCGACTGTCAGTAGCATGCTTTTCTGATGTTGGAAGTACCTCCCCCACCCCCCGTGCAGCTCCAAACTTGCCTTTCGTACCAGCTGTGTGGGGGCACTCTTCAGCCGAAGCTTCTCACTCTTATGCACTGAAGCATTTCCCAGCATTCACCAGAATTCCAATGAACGCATCCGCAAGTATTCGATCACTCCAGCGCTGCCAGCACACGGTGTTTTGGTTTCTACTCGCCTCTCTTTGTGTCTTTGCGTATCTCTCTCGCGGGCGAAGCGAAGTCTGCAGCCTTCTCCAGGATGTTGTTGAAGGATCGGCGCCGCACCGGCTCGCCATCTTCAGTGGTGCGGGGAACCTGGGCTGCAGGTTGAGGCCTGAAGCCCTGTAGCCCGGCAGACTCGCAGGGATTGCATGCATGGCCTGTAGAGATGTCGTCGCCGTAACTCTTCGCGATGGCCGCGGGGCCTCATCATCTGAAGAAGTGGCACCTCGCACATTACAGGGCACATCTTCTTCGCGAATGCCACCACGCAGACGCTGCAATGCATCCAGCAGGCTGTGCTGTGGTCCCACTATGCTTGGACGATGTCCAGTCCTTGCCTTCAGGGGAAGTTTCCGTGCCAAGCTACGCCACAAAATACTGCATCCATACGCAACAGCCACGACGCCTCTGCCATCATACGGCTGAAGCCTTGCTGTGAGCCTCCTGCCATGGTAACACAAGCTTTCACTTGGAAACTTAGTTTGTTCCGGGGACGAGCCTGAAAGTTCAGGCGACATAGGCGACTCTGAGGGTAGTGGGGAAGGAGAAGCGAGCGGAGTGCCAGGAGAAGCGAGCGGAGTGCCTCCAACAAGAGCATCGCATGCCTGAGGGACCATTGGCGCTCGCCAAGTTTGGTCCAAGGAGCGACTCACCGAAGGTCGCCGGGACCCGACGTTCACGGGTGCTGCACCTGCGCGTCGCGTCTCTCGCGAGAGGCACGCTCTGAGCTCTGCAATCGCCCCGGACCTTGTGCCTGCAAGTTCTCCGAGAGCTGCGCAGCCTCTGCAGAGACAGCTGTCGAATCCAGCAAAAGCCACATGCTGAGGCTTCGGCCATCTTGTCCTTGCGAATGGACATCAGGAACTTTGAGGCGCTCCTGCCCACCACTTCCGCATCACCACTTTCAGTGACGAGACCTGCATTTTCTGCCTCGGCACAGAAAAATCCAAAAGAAACTGACCAGCAACGCAACAGCGTGGCCGGTGGCCTCCTTGGCGAGCTCGGCAGCCTTCGCAGCCCTGTGTGCTACAGAAGGTTCGTAAAGGAACACTCTCGCGACTCAGCCCACCTGAGGAAGGACAGAACCTTGGGGAAAAGACTGGAAATTGCAGACTTCAACTGCCAAGTCTGTCTAAGCTCACCACATGGGCAAAGCGCTTGGCCACTTCTCTCTGTCTCTCCTCTACAGCTGCGACAAACAAAGCATTGCAAGGTGCTCTCTTTCATAAACGGACTGCACTTCCTCCTCAACTGCAGCACTAGTGCTGCCTCGCTTGTTCGATCCCGACATCTCTTGCCATGTCCTGCACTGTGATGGCTCTTTGTTGCTGTCGCTAGGACCCGGCCCTCGGCCTCCTCATTGCATTCACCTGACACCCGGACCGAACCGAACGCACGCAGCCGCGAGTGCGTTTCATGCTTTGCCAGCTCTCTTCACAAGACTTCAAGCTTCCCACGTGCCCCGTGACAACTAGACTGCCTCTTCCCCCGACCGGATTCAGAACATCCCGTTTACATCTTGCTCGCGAACACTACAGCCCAAGGAAGACACGCTCACAGTTGGTGTGAAATCGGTCCACATGTTTGCGGATGTGGCTGGTCTGCCCTCACGAGGCACGCCGCCGCAACGAGATGCATTGAGCTGAAAGCTGTCAGCTGTTCAGTCTGCTTCCTTGCGAAACGGACAGCCTGCGAAGTCTTCTTCTTTATTTCAGCCTTGAGCTCCTGCAGTGCAAGTCGGACTTGAGCCACAACCTGTATCACGTATCCCTGAAACTAAACTTACTAAATACATCTGCACATGCACGGCCGCAAGCTGCGAGCCTTCACCTCGCTAGTGTCAGCCTCTTTCTTTTCTTGCTGGACATCCTGAGTTCCCCGAAAGCCGCTGCAAGTGAGCGCTGTCGCTCTAGAGTACTCTTCTCAACAGCAGACTACACTGCAGCATGCGTCCTTCTTCAATGCCGCGACGACATTTCCTGAGTCCATGCTTTTTACCCGTCGAATCTTGTCTTCGATAGATGCCAGCTCCTGCAGAACTTCAAAGGTCGCTCGGATGTCAGCCTAAGCAAACAAAACTTGTCCTTTTCGAAGGCTTCCTTCTCTTCGGCAAGTTTCTGACAGCCCGCGATGAGGTCCTCAAGCATGACATGCACTTGCAAAGTCTGTACACCGCGATTACATGGCGCAGTCATGGCACGACCGGTCTGAGCCGGGCGCTTTCAGCTTCAGCGCGTTCTCCTGGCGCTGCTCCTGCCCCATTTCAGAGGCTCTCGGCACCGGTTCAAGAGACTGGAGATGACTGGAGCCTCGCTGAGGGGAGGCTCTTCAGCGGGCTTGTCGACGCGTTTGGCACCTCAGTACACCGTTGACTGGGCTTGCCCCAGGCTGCAGAAGGTCAATTAAGATGCCGACTCGAACGGCGCCCCGCCGACTCAGCAAGATCATTGAAGGAAGACACACACGTGCACATGCTTTTCGAAGAAACTCTTTTCGTGCTGTCGAGCATTCTGCAGCAAACTACCACAAATGTTTCCCTTTCTTGGTTTCTGCGATAAGGGAGCGCTAGGCAGATCCTCTCTGTGCAATCCAAGCACAGCAGACTTTCTCGAGGAAGCTCTTCTGGATCTCGACCTGGTGCCTCGGACGGGTTTGTTCAGTCAAGGCGACACTGCGCTGCTTGGCGAAGCGGAAGCCATGCAAAGCCGAAGCCATACGAGCCGCTGACAATGACCCTCAGCAAGCGCAGCGGAGCAAATTTCAACAGAAGCCCAGCGACTCGCGGCGCTTGCCGAAGCATCTCCAGCACTCTCCGCCGATGGCTCGGAGACGTGAACGCGAGAATTCCTGCGACTGTGCAAGGCGGCTCCTCTCCACTCTCCACTCGAGTTCGGAAGAGCTTTTGTTCCTGCGTGCTCGGGTTGGACTCAAGGAGCCGGTGCCTGAAAGCAAGAACTCTAAGAAGTTGACTGTACGCTCTGCGAGTCCCGCTTCCTGCCTGAAGGTTCTGGCGGAAGTGAATTCCTGAGTGTGCAGCAGCTGCTTTCTGAAACTGTGTGAGCGCAGCCGTCTGCAGGAAACTCGCGAGAAAAGGCTGTGCCACTTTACGGGATATTGCGTCAAAGAGCTTCAGATCTTGCAGCTGCTGGCGAAGGGCCTGCGGTCGTGAGGCGTCAGTGGGCCATCTGCACACGCAGCTCAGGCTTCTGTGCAAACTTGCGGCATGGAGCTGGAGCCTCCAACTCTTTCTCGGCTGTCATGTTGTCCTGTGGGCTCGACCAGAATCAGTGGAGCCACGACATCAGAGATGCACGGATCAAGCCACCAGACCCCGGGAAAAATGAAACCGTCAATGATACATGATGTGCTGCGCGAAGGTATCTGCGCCCCCTCCGAACGTGGACGTCTCTTCACCTGATGCCTTTTGAACAAGGGGTGGGCAAAGAACACAAGGAGACACCATCTACGTGTAAACCCTCAAAGCCTTTTTGAGGCTCGTTCTTGGCCGCTCCTTGAGCTGCTTCCTCAAGGCGTCGTCTGGTTGCGCGGCTTCCAATCGGCTGATCCTCCGCCGCCGTTTCTTCAGCTCACCACTGGAGAGAGGACTTTCACCTCAAGCGGAGGCCAGCGCAATCCAGGGCACATTCTTGATGCCGCAGTGCGACGAGAAAGCTCGGACCGAAGGTAACCCTGCTTGCCTGGAGGCCCCTCGCCATCTTCCAGGAAGCCTTCAGGCTCTTCTCCGGCATCACCGCCATCGCCACCAGTCGGTGCGCCCTGCGCAGAGCACAAAAGACACGAAGTGCATCGGAAGATTCTGCATTCACTCTCAAAGGGGCTGCACGATTCTTGCCCACCCGCACACACCCAACGGCCCCTGAGCAAGCTTGGTAAGTGGAGCCTGATGGTAACACCATCGGCATTCCTGCGGTTCGTGTTTACCCCGTGCAATGTGACCACCTGTCAGTCCAAGTCTGCTAGACGGCAGGACAGTGCGGTGTAGCTGCGCAGTGCATGCAGTCTGGCAGCTTTGAGCCCTACAGAAAAGTGTAGCTGGATTCTACGCCTTACCAAACACACTCTGCCCTCCCAAAGCAGGAGGGCGCTTGCATGAGCAGAAGGATTTCTGCAACCACAGCGAGAGATGTGACGGCTGTCAGTGTCAGAGCTCACGATTGCTCTTTGACGCCATGTTTCACGCTTGGGTTTTGGCATATAACCTGCACTTTGACTGATACAGTGTTGCCGCTCCATGACAGGAGGAATCGACTACATCCTGCGTGGAGGCTGTCGGATCAGGATTTTGCGTTCTTACAACCCAACTCCGACGGAGTCAGACGGAGCGCAGCTTCAGTTTGCAGATCCCGTCAAAGTTCCAGCTGCGCTCTGGGAAGAGGCTTTGAAAATAAATTGCCATCAGGGCCCGCGGACACCCACTCCATCGCGCGTCAGTTCGTGCCCAGTGTCCCACTGTAGCCATGACTCGTTGGCTCCACAAGCACTGCATGTTTCTGGTGGGCCTGGGCTGAGTCCTGGCGGGAAGGTGACAGCCCATCGGGTGCCTGGCCACAAGCTTTCGGGACTTTCCGCCTTCGCTTCTCCTGCGACCTTGGGGCTCTTGGCGGCCTGCACTTTGCTCTTGTCCTCGGCGACGTGCAGGCATTTGGCAGAGTCGAACATGACATGACTCAAGTTTGTGCAGCCAACGGCGGGCCTGCGCAGTGGCAGCTCTCAAGCGTTTCAGTTGCACCTTCATGGCTTTCTCCTGCATACACTCGACTGCCAACAGGCAACAGATTGGGCACTTCTGCATTCTCGCCTCCTCGGACAGACGGGCGGCTTTAGTCTGTTGCCTCAGCTCGGTAGGCTCTGAACTCCGGGGACTCATCGCCACACAGCAATCTCGGCCCGACGTCAAGATGCACACACCGTTAGGTCTCCAACTCCTTCAGCTGTTCCTCCAACTGGGGATTGTTGCGTGCCTGTGGTCCAATTCGAGCTTCAGTGTCGAACTGAGATGTTCAATTTCACCTGCATTCCCCCACGAAATCTCTTTGAAACTCTAGTCAAAAGGTGCCCCCGGTTTTTGATTCTCGACCAACAACCAGCAGCGCAACACCGTCTTTTGATGAAGGGTACAAGTAGCCCTGTTCGCAAACCAAGCCTGGGAAACGGACTGAACAAAGAACCGGCCTCGGATGCAGACGGCGTGACGGCCTCGCCTGCTTTGCTGATGTGGGCCACAGGGCATACCAAAGCAACTGCGAGGCTGTCTACAAGGCCCTTCGCACTGACGATTGGTAGCCTATCTCCGGGAGTCGCTACCCAGCCAAGCTTGGACCAGGTTCAGACCAAGTTGGGCCCTGACCTACCCGTTGCTTGCGCTAGCCCGTTCTTAACTGACCTGCCTCTCACCGACTCTCACCATCAAGTGTGGCATTGGTATATGTGGCATCAGGCCCTGTCCTCCGTTTGCAAAGTCCGTAGAACGCCTTTGTGCTTCACTTTCTCGGCAAACCAATGAATACAAAGCTGCACATAAGCACATACCATGAAAAAGTAAGTCCAAGAATCGACTTGCTTTTGCTTCTTTCGCTCGTCAAGATACCCTGGCGCTAAACAGTGTCATGCTAACGGTTTCGCACAAACAAGAGCCACCACGACATGTTGATCGAGATAGGCGAACAATCGCAACTCTCCCTACCTTCTTCTGCTTGATGATCTCGACCGTGTCTTCAGCTGAGGACAAGAGTCGACGGTACGCCTGACAGCATGGCCAGCATACGACAGCACGGCATGTGCCGTGTCCAGGTTGTCTTCCAGGCTATTCAATCTCGCTGGTGCCAATGCTTGTCGCCAACAGACATCAAAGCCAATGAATGGACAGCATAGTAGCCTTGTCTCCTTTAGCAAAAGCAAAGAGGAATCTTGGTTGCACCTGCTCAAGGCTCGGCTTTGCATCTTCTGCCTCTTTGTCCTGCTTACGGCGAAGTCGCATGCGGCAAGGCCCAAGTACGATCGCAGCCGTCCTCTCCACCCTCATCCTGCGTTTCACCTTCGTCCGTAGGTTCTTCGCTCGCCTGTGGTTCCTGCAGCCAGAGGCTTGGGCATCGAGGACGATGCAGGAAGGAAGACCTTCTATCTCCCCTCCTGCTCTGCATGGGTTCTCGTCGGCAGAATGGGCTGTTCCAGCGTGCTCTGTAGAATTGCAATTTCTTCCTGCAGAGTACAGGTGACAAAGATGCGCGTTTGACTGAGAGTTGCCCAAGCATCGGTCCCGCAAAGACGTGCTCTCGGCTTCGATTTCCTGGGCTGACTCATGCTATCACCTCCTCAGCGCATGACAGACCCTCCGACCTTGAACTTCAGCCGTCTCTGCTCCGGGTCGTTGCTGACAACAATCTCCTCAACTTGCTGGAAGCTTTCCTCGGTTTCTGGCACCAGCACTGCTCCAGAACCCACCAAACAGTTGCAGAGAGGAGTCTGAGCCGGAAAGCTTTTGGTCCCCGTCCTTTAAAGCAGCCGAGTCTTCTCGCATAAGAAGAAAAAGCACAAGAAACCAAACCTGACGGAATTAGTTGTGCTTCCTGTCCTTGCGCGTGTCCTCCAGCTTGAGCATTCCATTTCTGACCTTCTTCTTTCCTGGCATCTGGAAGTTAAGCGGGCACGGGGTTACTTGCAGGTTGCTCGAACTCCAACATAACGGGGTAGCATGACCACCAGGACGGTTGAAGGTGCCTCAATGGCCCAAACTTCGCAAGTGAGGCGCAAGTGACTGCAGGAAGCAGCAAAAGGCTTGAGGCCCCGGCTGTAGGCCAAGGAGACGCTCTCAGCGAGTGCCTCGTCTTCCAGCATAAGCTGTGCCAGAACGGCCTGCATCTGGCTCACCACCGCCTCGGATCTGGCTGAACTTTAGTCCCACATATCTAGTGCTCGCAAACAGCTTGGCCTCGCTGACCAGAAGGTAAGCAGGATCCTCCAGGCGCAACTGAAACTGGTCTTGAGAGACCAAATGGCAAGCACTGAGGTGCCAACGTCAGCCGGTGGGATGCGAATCTTCTTGCTCTTGAACTCAGCATTTCCCAGAATTGCGCGGGAAAGCAGAGCTGTCTCGCCAGTCGCGGCCAGGTAGCACCTGCACTCATGAAGAACACCTTGGCCTTTTCGACCGCATCTTCCAGGGACTGCACAGGCAGAGGCATGCTCATTGTGCACATCACCGAGTGGGGTTGGTTTGAGGACAAGAAGCCTCCAGCCTTTGGCTGCCCAGGGCCTCGGGCTCAGGGCCATGGAATCAAAGCCACAGACAGTTGCACAAGTCAGTCTTGGTGAGCGGCAAGCTTCCCAGACAGAACTTGCGCCTCCTCCTGCTGAGATGAAATGATCGAAAGAACCTGAACATGAGACAGGCGTTCAAGGATCCAAAAAGCTTCTCAGAGCACTCCCAGCCTCTGCCGCTTTGTTCCCGGTTGAGCTGCGCCGGGTCTTTGCAGGCATCGTTTGCTTCATTAGCTCCATCCTCTGAAGCTCCCCTTTGATCTGCTCAACATTGTCCTGCAACATCGGTGGTCAACTGCCAGTACAACCAGTGACCGATGACCACATGAGCATGACCCGAATTGGGCAAGTCTTGACAGGAGTTGCAACTCGCAACCTACAGCACAACGACAGGAACGAGAGCCCAGGTCCCGGAGGTCGGCAATCTGGTCATCAATGTCATGAAACCTGGATTCGAAGGATACACGCGACACTAGAGTAAACAGCCGGTCGACACAAAGGCTCGCGCTTCTTCGCAGCTCTTTCCGCCTGGCGCCTTCCAGGAAGGTTACAACTTTCGTATGACTTCCCCTGGAGCACGACACCGCCGCCCTTCGACTTTGGATCTGGGATAGTTTCACTCGTGGGAAACGTTGTTTGGGAGGAACTGCCTTAGTTGAAGGTGGCTGTCCCGTGCTACCTGTTGTGCAAGATGGAATGCGACGCGCATCAGCGTAGGCCCATCGCATAGTTCCGACTGATTTTTAGTTAAGAGCAGCTGTGATCATCTCTGCTCACTTGTGATCGGCAGGCAATGCACCCGAAGGAGCCAACACTGTAATCTCTAGGCCTCAGTTTGCAATATCTGCGCTGTTGGTTCACAAGACCTACAGTCCGCAGCAGTTTTCAATGAAACGCATCCACAGGGTCACGGCAATCCAGTGACATAGCGTCGCCTGAGCCTCTCCTGTTGCTTCTCTTCTTCTTCTTGCTGCACCTGGGCACTCAGCATGGAGTTGACACGCATCCACTTTGCACAACCAAGCGCAGCATGGCTGCTCTGGCAAGAAGTTCTTCTGCGAACTTCCTCTTCGATTCCCAGTGCTCGTCCAGGCGTTGCGCAAACTTCTGCTGGAAGCCTCTGCAGCTCGTGACCAAGCGCATGCGCACCTTCCCTAATGCAGTCTTCACCGCTGAGGTCTTGTTCAAAAGCAGTTTTTGCTACTTCGACCAAGTCGCAGCTTATCGTGGAGAAGAGAGCCATGTCCTGCCGATGTCTCGAAGATGTTCCAGATTCTAAAGTTGCTTCCTAGACTGGACAGCCCGTATAAACGATCACCAGTGAGAGATCTTCTTCTCTTCACTGATGATGTGGTGATCCCTCTTGACATCTTGGAACCGAACAGACCGAACGACCCCTCAGCAGGGCACTTCTTACGTTTACTTTCCGGTCCGCCGGCACGCGACCAGTGTTGCTAACGTGCTTGTCTTTGCGCTTTGGGTCGGCAGGAGTGTTTCTGCAACTGGTGGGCAGCCCCATGTGCTCCGAATACCACGTTTTCTTGTTCCGACATGCTCATACCGTATTAAATCAATGGCCACAACAGACGACGGCATATGCATCCTGATGCAACATGTCCTGCAGGCCCCTGCCGCCCATGGATCACCTACGAACTGCTCTTACGAGTGACGAGTGGACAACATAACATCTATGTCTATAGACCTCGTATGTGCAGTTCACTGCATCACAAAAAAATTACGCGCTGTCCTTCTGTTCGATGCCACTCTTCACCCCCTTGACCCCTTCCTGAGAGTGCACTGCTTCTGCAATGACTTCCTCCCTTATCTCAACTCAAGACCAGCGGCAGACTGCTCAGCCATGATCCTTGTGGCTGCGGAGATCAACGCCGGGTCCAGTCTCAAAACGAACTGCGACTGCCAAGAGGCTCGAAGGATTCTGCTTCGGTGCTGTCCAGCTCTGCAACCTGAACGCAGGACGCAGGATGAGCCATGCGAATGTGTTTTGACAATGCAGCCAACGTGCATCACGCTCTCCCTGTTGCATCCTTTGCTGAAACCAATTATTCCTCAGTGTCCACACAAATCAGATGTTGTTTTCGGCGGCAGCATGTTTACGGGACCTGATTAGCCGGCAAGTTGCAGCTGCTCAGTCAGTTTCACCCGCGCGAACTCCTTCCACTCGTACATGATTCCTCGTGCTTGGATGCATCAAACCGTCTCGAGAACAACAACAGCAACAAAAACGGCAATAGCAACAGCACCAGCAACAACAACAGCAACACCATTTTTTCAATTGAACGCTGCGCGAGTTTAGGGATCCGAGAGACGGAAGAGTTGAAGTCTCCTGCGATTAACATCACTGCTACCAACCACAACCGCAACCAACGAGGATCTAGTGCTCCCTTTAAGTCAAAAGCTCTGACCAGGCTTGTGGAAGCTCTGCTCTGCGAAGTGCTGTGGCACGGAATATGCAACAGCTACTGGTTTCGATTTGAGCAATCTGCTCGCCGTTTTCTTTTTTGAGGGTTTCGGCCAAACCCCTAAACCGTGGGCGCGGCAAAACTCAGAATCCCAAAAGAGTGAGCGCTGCGAATAAACCTGGAGGCGAAAGGGATTCGCGAAATCCTTAACTCTACATGCGCCATTGGTTGCCGCAAACCCTGAAAACCCTGAAATCCCTGAATGGAGTGTGAGTGGTTGCAAAACCCCAAGCCTAAATGCAGTAACTGGTTCCCAAACACCCAGAACAGGCGAAAACCCGAAAACGCATGACCCGTTGGCAAGCATCCAACACCCTGCAGGAGTGCCTTTTTGCCAAACCCAAACCATCCCAAAGCCCTGAAAGGGGTCACTGGTTGCTGCAAACCCAGAGCCCTCGAAGGAGTGAGTGGTTGCGAAAGCTTGCCAAATAACAAAAAATGCAAGAAGGGGCGACACGCACGTTGCCCAGCCAACAAGCCAGCCCCACACGAACAAGTGACCCTGTTGAAACGGATGATGATCAGGCTGATGTGGCGGATGCTTATGGCATGTAACAATGCGGATGACGAAAATGATGATGATGATGATGATGATGGTGATGATGATGATGACGATGATAAGGATGAGACCATGACCGTGAGCATGATGAAGATGACGATGACGATGAGGATGACGATGACGATGAGGATATGATGATGATGATGATGATGATCAACATGACGGTGATGAACAAGACCCTCATGAGTTGCGAGAGGAGCCCAGAAGGCGAGGGCAAATGTGGTCTTCTAGTTGGCTTTCCTCTGCTACAGCTACTACCATTACTACTGCTGCTACCGAAGCTGCAACGGCAAGTGCAACTGCTGCTGCTACTGCGACTGCGACTGCTACTAAGACTAACACGAAACCTGTAAGACGAAAACAGACGTACAAATACCAACACGAATATTGATACTTCTGCCGTAGCTACTCTTCTTGCTGCTGCTCCTACTGCTACTTCTACGTCCTCCTCGACTTCTGGCACGACTAAGGCGACACCAACTAATACTTTGAAGGAACACAAAAGGGTCGAAAGCTGAAAAGCTGCTGCAAAAGAGGCTCGGTTAGTCGCGGCTCTACCCGCATTGACCTGTCGAGGTGAAGGCCCAGAACTGCCCAACTCTTGGCACTTCTGGGATCCAGGCTTGCTGCTCGATTTTGCTGTGGTCGGTCTCTTGCACGATATCATCAATGTCCTGAAGCCACGTCGTAGGCGCAGTCTTTCATGCCATCCCTTGGAGCCATGCTGCCAAGGATCGTGGTAGTTTATATTCAAGAAGCCGTCGACACTGTCATCGTCGCTTAGATCTGCCCAGGATGTTTTACAACAGGTTCAGCCATGGAGCATCGAGCACCTGACCTTCTGGGGCAGACCCTTGTTCACTGTTCGAGTCCTTTTCACACGTTGCGGAGGACATCAAGCTACCTCTGCTTGTTAAATCGTCCAGTGCTCCAATCATCCTGGCTCGCCGCACGACGACGCGACAAGACCGGTCCTCGTCCTCAGACACCTCGCCTTTCATCCAACCAGGCATGCCAGCCTGCTATGCCACGGCCGGCGACTGAAGCAAACGAAATGCCCGCACATGCAAAAGCTCACTCGTTACAAAAGCCAGAATACGGCCGAGAAGCCAGCTTTTTTTTGAACTTGACTGGATCTGCAGCCTCCACCTCCTGCTTTTCGGCCTCCTGGACCTACAGTTCTTTAAAGATTCGAGGCAAAGCCAGCTCAAGCACAGAAGCCAGCATCCTTGACATCCTTCGGCGAGGTTGGCGGTGGGCTGCCTGAGAATGGAATGGAATGGGAACTCCACCACTTCGCTTCCCCTTCAGACTCGGGCTGCTGGAATCCGAATCCGCACTGCTTGAATCCACGGCGACCTGCGACTAGCAAGATAAGTGGAAGCTCTTTCAGAACTTCTTGAAAATGGCACGAAAGACCGGAGAAGCCTCGTCACTTTCACCAGGTCGAAAGATGCGACCGGCGAGGAGATCTTCGATGCCTTCTTGCAGTCCATGGGCTATTGCCAGGATCTGCGCCTGTCGATCCCAGATGCCCGGTGCATGCTCGCAGAAGGCCGCAGAAAGTGTCGGAGGCCTGCTCCTTGGTGCGTCCCTTCATGGTGGCAGACTGCAGGTCCAGCTCGCTCCTGACCAGGATCGGGATAGGAGTAACAGCATGCCGCTGCGACCAGTCGAGTCCTTCTGCGATCAACTTCCAATCCGCGAAACTTGATGTCCAGGAGGTCCTGACCACATGCTGACCCTGCTGACCTGCGCTCTGCAACCGATTGCAGTCCCGACAGCGGTCCGTGCCATGCTCCGCGTCCGTTGCAGACTCGAGCACGGAAATCCCAAGGGCCGGGAAACCCTGCCGACGCTGACGCCGGCGGTTCTCCTTACACGACTGCATCATACCGCACCAGATCGGCAGAAGCTAAACGCACACCCTCGGAAGCCGAGCAGCGGTGGCGGATCTGGCTGAGTCTGCGGCAGAGTTGATCATGTTTCCCGGAGGGGTCATGCCGGTCCTTCACTCCTTCACTGCATAAGCGGCACAGTTCCAGCTTCAACTGTCACGGCAGCAGCAAAGCACGGCCAGAAGACCTCGACTACCGACGTCACGGCAGTCGCTTCATGGTTCAGCAAACTCCAAGACTCAAGCCGCCAGCCATGCTGCAGTCCTAAGCTTGGGTGAATGTTGATGCCAGGCAACGGACTCCGCGACTATAGCAGCCAAGAAGCTTTGCAGCAAGGGGCTGGGCTGGAAGCTTGAAGTGAAAATCAACATCAGAGCAAACAAATTGCAAGGCCGGCCAATGTAAAACATCACATGCTTGACGGCCCCTGGGCGATCTTTGCTTGGCGACTGCAGAGGTCCTAGTTGCGCGGGTAGCGACTTTGGCCCAGGACACGCGGTCCGTGAGGAGGGAAAGGAACCGATGCCCAGATCGCTCTCAGGACTCCGTTCTCTGCTTCGTCGCGGTCTTCTCTCCGTGGCTCGGCACTTCTGCGACATCTCGGCGCGTCTTCCGCTGCCTCTGGACGTTCTTACTCGCTGTATCCTTTGAGGTGCTTCTTGCGCAGCTTCTCGCGATTCACCTCCGGCAGGTCCAAGGCTTCGGCTCTGCTTTGTGAGCCGAGCAGGAGCCTCAAGCAAGGCTTCGCCTTCGCCTTGGCCCTGGGTTGGAGTCCAAGTCCGACTCCGAGCGGCCACTCGGCTGGGCCACCGAAGATGGAACTCAGCCAAGCCCGAAGGACCTGGTAGGCGAGGATCCGGCTGCTGTCGAACATATGACCACACGCTCGAATCATGATGACTGCAAGCTCGGAGCTCGTAGCTGCCATTTCCTGCTGCCTCTCGGCCAGGCTCGAAAAGTGTGCCGTGACGGCCGGATCTACGTTGCGGTCTGCGAGTCCATGCAGCCAGAGGACAGGCAGGTTTCGATGCACCGCGGCCCTGATGCCTGCTTCTGTGTCCAAGCCCGCATGCTCAAAGCGCTCACCGCCACGAGCGGATGATGCAAGGGCAATCATGCCATGCACCTCACAGCGCTGAGCTGCAGCCCACACCGCAGGGCCACCAAATGAAAAGCCGATGAGTATGACTGGCACTTCACCATAACGCTCTCTCATGAAGGACACAGCTGCCACGACGTCCTCGGCAGCGATGCGCAAAGAGCTGAGGTGCTTCAACTTGCGCTTCGGCCAGGCTGTGCCACTCACGCAATGCCGCCAAGAGATTTGAAGGCCGGCACAGACAGGGAACTCAGGGCCCTGAGGAGCCAGTACGTCACCATCGAAGCTTAAGTCTAGGCTGTTCGCAAAGCTTGCGCCAAGCCGTGCGTAAATAGAATTTCGGGCGGCTCTGGACGTTCGCTTAGTTAAGGGCAGCCCTCTGTCAGCTGCATCGATTCCCGGCCCCATTCCTCCATTGCTGCCTGGTGCCATGATCAGGATGCAGTCAGGCCGCCTTATCGGAGTGTAAAGGATGCCGGGCACTACTCCCGAAAACAGGGGAATCTGCACATCCGTGCCGTGTTGCCAGATGCAGCCGCTATTACGGCTCGCAGTATAAGCTGATGCCGGTCGCCGTCCAGACATCAGGAACCGGCACCAGCCAAAGCCACACACGGGCCTACATCGAGACTTACAGCATGACTCAGCATGACCTTGAGACGCAAAGCCTCAAAAGTCTACGGAAACAACAAAACTTCGATCTCACCAAAACCCAAGTCAGGATTTAAATGGTGACCAGATCCAAGGCCCATAGCCGCACGAAACTGCGCAGCTTTCACAAAGACGAAACGCAGCATAAGAAAACTTCTCCAATGTTCTCCTATGGTTATTGAAGCCTGCGCCCTTACAATGACATCTTCGGAAATCTAGTAACCCACAGCGATGTTGGCCGCAAATCTTGCAAACACGCGTCGGATCAACCAATCTTGTAACCCTGAAAGGCGCTGCAAATCTGCAACCGTTGCAGGAATCTGATGCAAAAACCATTAGCCCTAAGAACCCGTTGCATAGCAAACCCTAACCCTTCCAACGACGTGCGGGGACCTCGATTCAGTAAACCCGAAAACCCGTTGCTTTCAACACGTTACCGGGATGTGTCGGAGAATCCACTAGCCCCGAGAACCCGTTGTAGAGCAAACCTAAACAGCTGCAAGGATGTGCTGGAACCTAAGCATGTGCAAGGACGTGCGGGCAAATCCTTTAACCCGAAAACACCGTTGGCAGGCCCGCCTAATCCCGTGCAAACATGTTGGTTAATCCGTTAACCTGACAAAAACCGCTGGAAAAGCTTGCAAGGGAATCCACTAACCCTACCCCAAACCCTTGCAAAAACAAGCTGGGAAGCGCACTAGCCTTGAAATACGTCTGGCTAACCCAAGTCATTGACTGGGCATGTTGCGAAGATGTTAACCCTTAAAACCCGTCGGCTGGCAGACCTGAACCGTTGAGAGATCCATCAACCCTAATATAACGTTGCCCGACAACCTGAACCCTAGGAAGGACAAGATGGGACCTGTCTAGGTCCGTAACCCTCTAAACCTGTCGGCTACAAACCCATAACCTTGCAAGGGTGCGTTGGGAACTGCACTGACCCTGAAAACAGCCGAACTGTGTTCACATTGCCAACCCAAGCCCCCTTGCAAAGCGGAGTTGGGAAACTCATTAACCCTAAAACTCTTTGGCCCGCAAACCCAAATCCTTGTTGGAAGACGCACTAGCCACACCAGCCTCCAAACACGGTTGACCAAACCCTGACCCCTGAAAGGACGCCTTCGGAAACTCGTTCACCATCATTTAAGCCCAAAGAGCCATTGCGTGGCAACCCGAAACGCTCGCAAGCAGCTTTTGAGGAGCGCACAAAAGCTCCGAAACAGGCAACGTCAGATGAACCATAGCCAAAACGTCCCAGCAAAGAGGAAGGGGCATGCCCTTTATCAAAGGGTCTCGGGCCTTCTCAAACCTGCTCAACTGATCTGTTCGGATTCGGGCTTCCTTTTGATTTCCTGTCCTGGGCTTGGTGCGATGACCAGTCTTGCCGAGTCTGAAAGCTTCTGTTGCAGCATCGAAGTGAGGTACGACATTTCTGTTCGGCAAGACGAGGTCGCTTTGTACAATCGCCTTCAGCCCCATCCACCACCGCCTCCTTTGGTCCAACCTTTTGAAGTTGGTGGTCTGTCTGACTGCCTGCCGCCAAAACCTGCACATTGCGCATCCAGGTGACCAAGTGCAGTCATGTGCCCATGTTCTCTTCAGTCGAGATAGTGATAGCTGGGGCGACAATCTGCCAAGGGGCCCGGATTGCTGATGTTACTCGAGGAGGCTTGAATCATGTAGGTACCAGCTTCTCACATCTTGTTGCTAATCTTGATGCCGCTTGGACAGCAGAGACTAGTGAACAGTGAGTACGTGCTTCATTCAGCTGTTTCGCAGTACGCAGCTGTGTCTGGTTACACAAAAGTTTCCTTCGTGACTGGACCCACACCAGAGCTGAGACAGGCCTTTTCAAGCGTGGGCGCAGCGTACTTACAGCTTGCGTGGGGCTCCTCATCCTCATAGTGCGTGTGCCTCTGACATGACCTCACTCCTGGTAGACTTAGTTAGCACAGACTCACACCGTGTCCGACATGCTCACATCAGATCCGGTTGCGCGACCGCGCATGTATCCATGGATCCGCCACTTTACCGGCTTCCAGTTGCGCATTCTGGGGGGGCGACGAGTTGTGCATACAAGAAGGTGGGCTGCATCTTGCCTACGATGACTCTGCACTTGCAGTAATTAGTTTGCAGTTGATCTCTGACCCTTTGCCGTGCGTCACACGTGCCAGCGGGACTGTGGCTGCGTTTCCACACCCTCATCTTAAAGTTCATGAGTTCCAAAGATCATGAAAAACAGAACGGCAGGCTCTTTCCTGTCAAGCGAAGGGCGCTGAGTGCAGGTATGGCTGGTAACCCGTTTCTACTGAGCGCCGAAAGGTTGGGATGCAAGTGTAGCTGCTCGTATCGCTCGAGAGGGTCTTCGTCGGAGTTCAAAGCAAAAAGCCAACAACGCACACCGTACCGCCAACGGGCTAGAAGTCGCTCTCCAGGCCTCCTCCACCCTTGTCGCCTTTGCCACCATAGTATCCTCCTGCAGTGGCACATCAAGCAACGTCTGCAGCATTTTCCTCCCGCTGCACCGCGGCCTCCACCACCTCCTTGTGCGTAGTAGCCTCCTGGTCGCTGCGATGCGAAGTTTGACCGGCTGTACTGTACACGGAGAGCATCAGAGTTGACTGAGGGACACACCGCCTCCTCCACCGCCTTGGGCATAGAAGCCGCCTCGCACTTACCGTCATGAGTCGCACATGAATGTCGCTTCTCAACCCAAATCACCACATCAATGCCTCCTCCTCCGCCCTGCGCATAGTAACCACCGCCGCCTCCCCCGTCTGCTCCTCCCTTGGAGTAGTAGCCACCTGCTTCGAAATCTCAAAGCGTCTACACCTGCCTAGGAGGCCTCCAGTCATGCAGCCTCCACCACCGCCTTGTGAGTAGTACCCGCCGCCGCCGCCACCCCCTTTTTGGGAGTAGTAGCCGCCTCGCATCCACCAGAGGTTGCCAGTAAGCTTGCTACTTTAAACTCCATCTCATGTCCCCGCTGCGTCCGGGCCTCCTCCGTCACCTCCTTTGCCTTAGTAAACAGCTTCGTACACTACCAGGTCAACCGTGATGCGGCGGAGGCCTTGGGAGTAGTAGCCCCCACCGCCGCCCTTCCCGTAGTACCTGCCAGCTGCAGCAGAGTTCCGACGACCGCCCTTGACACAATAACCGCCGCTCTGCGTGCCCGCCGCCACCATCGCCACCTTTGCCTGCAATCAATTCGCTGCGTGGGGAGTCTATGGCCATCTGCCACTGAGGCCGAGCCTTTGCCACCGTAGTAACCACCACCACCTCCACCTTTCTCCCCTGCAGCAGCATGCAGTCTTTTGCCGCTATGGCTGATGGACTTGGTGACGATGTTTTCTGATGCTCAGCAGGGCCCATCAAGAAGCTTAGAGCGTCAGGCCTCTAGGACTGTCTCGAGCATCTCCTGAACCTACCAGCGAACATCCAGAAAACTGCAGAGCCACAGAATGCCAGAACCTGAGTACCGGGGCACCTCTGAGCGCCCTACCCATGCCCTTTCCAACCCATCTCTTTGCAGACATGGCTGCTGCAGTCTGGGCCTTGGAAGGAAACAGAGGTCTCCATAACGTTCGTTAAGGCTCATGACAGCCTTCCTTTGGGGCTCTTGCAGATGCGCCTTTGCCACCTCCACCTCAGGAAAACGGAGCAGGAGCGAGGAAAGCCTGATGCATCAGTGGCCGACCTTGATCCTTTTTCGTCAAGGCTACGTTGGCTTTGACGATATCCTTCGCAATGTCCTCAACCGTATATCCTGTGCCACGTCATGGGCGTGACATAAATGCATTGCAGCCGCCTTACGCTTGCGAGAGCACGGTACACCGTGCCTTCTGGCACACCACCTCTGTCAGGAACTGCACCAATGATGATGGTTTTTACCTGACATCAGCTGTGTGCCATGCTGTGCTTCTCAGAGGCGTGATGTGAGCCCGCAGCAACCGACTTCAAGGCCGTGATGGAAGAAATCTGGCCAGGATGCACCGTACTTGCTACAAGGCTGTAGGCAGCTTCCAGCTTCTGTCAACCTTCGGCGGCTCTTGTACCGTTTTCTCATCCGTCGCCAACATGTGCCAGCTCCTACCGCCAAGGGGGGACCTCTGATGTATCTACCCGAGTATACAGAATGTCATGTTCTGAGGCGCTTGCCCGATGCTCGCCGAGCTAAGGTGGTCGCGCCAATCCATGACGGCTGAAATGGCCTGCAGCAGAGCCAACTTATGCCAATGCGGATGTATACTGCAGCGGCTAAGCATGAGTAGCCTCAAATACCGTGCTTGATTCCTCTAGATACTCGAGATGCACAGATCAACTCACAGAGGAAGGCTGCAAGGACGCTGAGCCTGGGAGATCTGCTCCATGTAGGAGTCCGCCTTCGGCGACCAAAGAAAGGCCTCGCAGAGACTGAGTTCACCGAGTCTTTGAACAGCAATCCGCACCTGAATTGTCACGTCCAAGCGCCGCGTTAAAACTTTCCGCCTCCGCAGGTCACGTCGCATTGCATCAACAATCTTCACAAGAGAGCAGCACGCAAACCTGACGGAGTACTCCTGATTGAAGACTTCCATGATCTGATGCACGGACTTCTCCTAGAAGTGATAGGACCGTAGCAGCTCAGAAAGCAAGAGCACTGCAGCGGCGCTGCAGCGGCGCATACAGTGCCTGGTCGGGAGTCAAGTTCCAGTACGGGTAGAGCAGGTGATCACACCTGCGTTGAAGCGTCAACCACTCTTTCTAAAATCATGTCTCATCCAGCCTCTTGCTGCTAATTGAAGCATCCTCAAATTATTGCAACAAGCTGAAATGTTGCAGGAGCGTGACCTCACATGTTGCAAATGCAAGCTGGGTGTCTGCTTCAATCTTGCCCGCAATTTCGTCCAAGGCCTGGAAGGTTTGAATCCGTGCCAATCAAACGACGTCTCGTGGCTTCGGCTCTATGCACCTGAACTTTCTCATCAGCCGGCTCCGCTTGCGCGCTACCTTGCAACGGCTGCGGCTGCGAGCAGACAACAAGAACATGTTCCAAACATAGTGCCACAAGTTGACCACAGCAGGGCAAGCTTAGGTGGGCACTTTTGCCCTTGTAAGCACCTTTGCCGCCTCTCCTGGAATGCTCGCGTTCTTAGGCTAAGTCAGGCGGATGAAAGCTGGCCTTGCTGCATAGGCGACGAAGCCAAACCTCAGCACGGTCTCCAAGAAAAATGTCGAGATTCCAAACTTCAGCCAGCTCCATCACCACTCTCCTCTCTCCAGCTCCGATCTGCTTTGACCATCTTGGCGGCTGACTCTTTCGCTATTTCTTCTATGACATCCTTTGCCTCACTCGTGGCCTGCCGTCCCGCCGACAGCAGGAGGATGCGCAATAAACAGATTGTTTGGACTGCGCCATTTGCACGTTCTACCAGGCGTTCCGAGAACATGGGCCGACTTCAGGATTCTAGCCCGTGAAGTCCCAGCCCTTCCGGGCCGCTGGAGGGAGGAGCCCGCTCCAGGGGGGCGGGCTGCGAAGGATCACAAATCGACCCTGAACCGTACTAATGTCAACCTGCGCGTGCCCGAGAACCAGCCTTGTCTGAGAGCTCTAAACGAAGATCGGTGCAGCAGAACTTCTTTGCAATCAGACGACAGGCCTGCAGCAAGTCTAGCGCAGCAGATGCTGAAGGAGCTGAGTCTTGAGAATATCCGCACCTGTAGGTCAGCCAACAGCTCACCCAATAGCTGGGTTCGGAAGACAACCTCTGCCTCGGCAGACTTTCAAGTGTAAAATAAATTCTTTTACATAGACCGTGGCCCGAGGTAGAGGCTAAGTTTTCGGTGGTAAGGTCACCCTGCCCACTATTGCAGAAAGTGCACTGGCGGCTGGGAGGTTTTTCGCGTTGTGAGGCCTCCAAGAAGAGCTCTCGCGACCTGGCCAGAGATGCCACGCCTGAAACGGCAGGATGCAGTTTCGACCCATCGTGAACCTTCGAGTCTTCTGACTCCGTGGCCCCTGATCTGAGACAAGAGCTTGAAACATCGGTGACTTCTGGGAGGCTTTCGCCGGTAAGGGTCGCAATCTCCGTCCGGAGCGCGTCTGCAAACGGGCAGCAGCAAACTGTCCAGAAAATTGACAGCATGGAAATCATCACTCTGCTCTGGACAGCGTTGGAGCAGTGGCGCTTTTTCTCGTCAAAGCTGAACGGACAAGAGCCGGCTGTGCTGCTGTGCGCCGTAAACATCACGATCACCGGCACTGCCCGCGAGAACCTTTTGCAGCGTGTTGAAAAATGACATGGCAGGCATGAAGTGCAATGCTTTGCCTGCCGGGCACAGGTGATCTTGATGGCCCAGCACGTGTCCTGGGCCCGAAATCGGCAGGATGCATCAAGCTGTCACATCTATTGCAACAGGCACTGAGACCCTGGCATCGCAGAAGATGCCCAAAATATTTTGCAACGGAACTGCAGAAGCATCCAGTGATGGACTGCTTTTGGCATAATTGTAAGACTCCCTTGGATGATCAATGCGAAATCACGCAGGGTGAGAATTCGAAGACCTTCGGTCGATTTTGCTGGGCAAGTCTCTCATCGGCAAACATGATGTCGTAGGTAATTTCCTAGTTAGGACAGGCTGGAATGGTGATTGGACCGATTTGTGCCCTGGTGACAACACCAGTCGATGCTGTTCAGGGCTACCGTGGAATCGGTGCTGGCCAGGAGCGTTCACCCCGGCGTTCTTGGAACGCACCACTTTCGCTAGGTCTCCGAGGTTGCACCCAGCCACACCTTGGACAGCTCTAAGGTTCGGGAGAGAACAGCCAGCAAGGCGGTTTAGGCGGTGACACCGCGCACTTGGCTGCTTGCTTGCACGCTTCCTGCATACCCTCGGCCCTAGACACAGAATTGTTCAAACTGTCGCCAGAAACGCTGCACGTCACTGTCCACGACATTCAGTGGAGTTCGGGTCTTGGCACCAGACGCCAGGAATGCCGAAGCATGTGTACGGTCGATCAGTGGTTGATTTGCTCGGTTTCCTGTCTTCTTTTGCGCATCCTTCGTCTCGGCTAAGGATTTGCATCCCAAGCCGCAGATCTTTCCTACAGCGTGGTGCACTGTGCCAGGTGGATCCCATGTGTGTTGCCTGTCGGTCTTCCTTATGTGGATTTTCTGGCCCTTGAAATCTTTTTGCTATGTTTTCCCCCTTCTTCAGTGGTGACTTTCCTCGGATGAAAAGCCCCGTGCCTGTTGCCTCACCTCTGGACTGCCTCTGGTGCAAGCGAGAGGCGCCACCCTGAAGGCTTCGCAGAAGACTCCCAGTCTTGGTATGCCTGGGCCGGCAATGTTGAAGTGCACAGAACAGTGATACAAACAACTTCCGAAGCCTCTGCCGACGAAGCAGTCGGAGAGGCATCCCAAGGCAACAGGGTTGCCTCCACGTCCTGCAGAAAGTATGTTGTTCCTTCGCTTGGTGCAAAGATTCCGTCAGTCCTCCGCTGAGCCATCGCTATGCAATACACGGATTGGGAAGAGATCGCGCCTTGGTGCATCTTGCTGTTCTGCTGCAGCTGTCTCAGGCATGTCAGGATTTGATGCATTGACGCAGAGGGTCAAGAGCTTCTCGTCAAGATCGAGCAGATGATGAACTGTGTAGTCCTTATGGCATAGTCTTGCTACGACAAAGAATTTTGAGGCACACGAAACATCATGAATCTCGGCACCCTGCCGCTGCAACGCTTCCATGGCACAGCCAGCTTTCGATCGCTCTTGTATCTGATTGAAGCTGTGTGCGTGCTGCTGCTGCAGTGCTTGCAACAACCTCGCGGCACTGAAGAAGATGTTGACCCGGCAGACCCGCAGCAACGAAGCGAACAGCCAGGCCCTCTTGGCATGAGAGGCTCTGGACGTAGTCTTCCACCTCCCTTAGAATCTCTTGCCACCGTGAGATGAAGCTCGGATCTCTTGTGCCACAAACTGTCAGAACTCCCTCGTCACCAAATTGAAGGTCGGATGGTGAGAATGGAAATGCCAAGTTCCCAGCCGTGGCTTTCCGGCCCTCAAAGCCCCAGTGCAACAACGTAGCACGGAGGAGGGCTAAATGTGATTTGTTCCTTTCGATGCCCCCTCCGGAAACGGTGACCAGAATACCGAGCTCTTCACCAGAGTTGACCCAGGAATCCTCGACACCGTTCCTCCCGTACACCATCGTGCCATCGGACACTTCCACATCCGCCGTGCCGGGAAGGAGGTCAATGGCAACTGCGCGGAACCCACGCACTGCAGCTCCTTGGGAGATGCCAAGAAGAAGGTGACTCGCAAGAGTGATAGAAACACACTGGAGTATACACAAACGAAGCCTCAACTTGTCAACAAGCAGTCAGCGGCCTTCCAGCTTCACTGCGGGTGGCACCCTTGTCAGCTTCGTGCCCTCCACTTCCACAACCCGGCCGCGCTGCTTGAAGACCGCGTGCTTCGTGCTCAATACGCCACCAGGCAAGCCGAAGAGATGAGGGTGGCTCTTCTCGTAGAGCGTGTGCGCAGCGACACTCAGAGTCGTGGCTTGCCTCTTCGTGTTTGGCGCCCAGAACCTTGCTGTTGCCTGGCCTCTGTCCAGTTCTGCAACGAGGCAGTCGCTGCCACTTCCAGGCACCTCAAAGCAGCACACGACAGCCTGTCGGAACTCCGCAGATTCGTTTATGTTCACGAGTAGAATCTATTCACGAGTGCTGCCCAGATTCCGTTGCAATTGCGCCGCACTCGAGCACTTTGGCGGCGTGCAGCGCTGCTGAAGCTGGAAATCCACATCGTATGGGCTCAGCAGCAAAGACAGCAGGGTCATAAGCACGTCCACACAGCCTTGGTGAAAAGTTGTCCAAGCTTCTCATGATCTCCTTGCAGTTTGCTCAGCCAGGATGCACTATGTCAGCATGCCCCAGCGCCGACATGATGGGCTCAAGACCCATCTGCGCCACGATCACCGAGCCTTGCCGGAGACAAACTAAGAGCACAGGGCAACGAAACGTTGCAGACCTTCTGCTTTCGCACGCGGCCTTCCAAGGCATCTGTGTCAATGGCAGGCATAGGACCCAGAGGTGTCAGCTGTCGTCCGGCCAGCTGTACAGCTTGCAGCTCACTCTGGACCTTGGAGGCTTGGCGTGTCACGGTTTCACCAAGCCCCAGGTTCTGCTCTCTGCTTCGCTCTGCTTCGGTCTGCTTCGCTGAGACTTTTGCCGTCGCAATTGGAGCGACCAGGCCTAACCTCAGCGCGGGGAGGCTTTCGCGAGGCTTCGACCTCCCTTCTTCGAGGCCCAGGGCCCAGGCTCGGCCATGATCCTCCGAGCTTCGCGAGCCAGCAGCTCAACCTCTCCGGCGCGAGAGTTCAGAGATCCTCTCACGGCGACAGCTGCTTGTTGTCTTCATCGCCTGGTTGTTGGTGCCACAGCCCCCAGCTGAGCCCACGATCAGCTTGCAGCGCTGCCCCATGCTTGCCTCACGATGTGCAACGATGTGCAGCGATCGCAAGGCTCAGAGCGGCTACCGGTAGTACGTTCGGCAAGGTCCTGCTGGCGGACACCCTGAAGCATCAGACGAAGGTCTCCTTGCAAGCAGCCAAGAGCTCAGCTCCGCAAGCTGCAGCCCCATCATCCCCATCCCTATGGCTCGAGCAAGCGTCGCAGGACATGATCTAGCGATGTGAACGATGAGCGAGACGCCAGGTAGTAAGGTCCCGGATCCTCATTCGCACCGGGTCTGACAACTACTAAGACCCAAAAGACTTCAACAGACTTGCAAGATGACCTACTCCGTTTCACGCAGAAAGCTTTATCTGAGCTGCGATGGAGCCGGCATCTGCCGCAATGAGATTGAAGGCATGCTCGCCTTCATGCTCAGCATGCCCAGCTCAGAACTAGCCAAGGCCGGGTCTACGTCCTGTCGGCTAAGCTGCTCACGCACAACCACATCGAAAGGAGCCTCTGCAGTTGGCGGCCGGCGCTCTGGTCATTCCCTCTTCTCACTCTGAGGCCGAGCGGCTTGAGGAAACCCATACCCCAAGATGGCCGTCGGCGCCAGAATTCGAAACACCGCGGGGTCGGAGCGGCCAGTGGCAAGCATTCTCGCCTGGTGCATGCGCATCGCCCTGCAAGAGCGCCTCTGGCTACTCGGATTTAAGTCAGCAAGGTCGCAGAGCGTCGGCTGACATGTCCAACGTAGGTCTTGAGGCACAGCATTGGCAACGACCCTGCTTCTCTGTGCACGTCAGGGTAATTCCCCCACTTCTGACACAAGATGCCATCCTCATGGCCGTCGTCTTTCATCTCTTGCTCTCTGTGGTTTGCTTCCTAGACTGCGACAGATGTCTCGAAGCTGCGGAAGCCAGTTGTCCGGAGATCGCGTATTGTGCTCAATGCAGGTGCAACGAGATCTACAGCAGCAAGGCCAATCCGGCCTGTCAGATCGAAGAATGTCGTGTCATTGCCTTGTAAGACGGACAAATCGAGCGACATCAAGCATTTTAAATTGTCTGGGCTGCCGACAAAGCATGATTGTCTCATGTGGCTGCCATGTCTCGACACTTCTGCCATTGACCTTGGCCAATATCATTCGAACGACCTGCTCGACTCAAAACTGCCCTGCTCCTTTCTGCTTGTCCTGCCCCCAGGCCGGAAAGCCCCTGGCCGTCTTAAAGCAGGCACTGAAGGCATCGTAAAGTTCCTGCCAAGGTGGACTGCACCAACAGAAACCGTTGAGGGCGGTGCTTGCATCTTCGCGCCTGCTGTGCGGCCTCGAGCTTCTTGTGCCCTTCGATGGCGAGCACCGCCATGCGGCCTTGCAGATGTAAAGAAATTGCTCATCTGTAACCGTGTCGTAGCGGCATCTCCAGCAGGCCTACAGTGAGGACCTGCCCCCGTGACCAGGGATTTCAAGAACTCCACCATGAGCCAACTAGGCTGCTCATCCGAGACGCTTCGATTGCCGGTTCATTGCATCACAACCACACTGGACGGTCACGTACTGAATTCAAGGACAGCTGGAATTCAGAGCAGGTTTGGCTGGTTGTGCCGACATCTCATGGTTTGCCTCGTCTCGCAGCCACATTTCAGCTGCAAAACATTCGCCCAGACATATGTTGTTGCTGAAAGCCGGGGCCCAGCGTATGTACAATCTGGGTTTGTGCATGTCGTTCTGCACAAGGCACATCCTACGGCGAATCCGGTCGGCTAGAGTTTTGGCTCGTAGCTCGGCTCGGCTGTGGGCTCTCACTTGGCCGCAAACTGTTGAGCATGCTTGCGCGTCCAGGCTGGCGGTCTGCCATGAACTTGACCTATCGAGACTTGCTACAACAAAACACAACTGAAATGCATGGTGCACGTGGAGGCTCACGGAACCGAATGCAGCACGAAATACGTTGTTCTCTTGGCTTGTCAAAACGCGGCAAAACACACAAGGCCGTGCTGCCTTGACCATGGCAGAGGACCGTCGCCGGTGCATCGCCCTGAACGGACATGCAAACTGCCCCCCGAGGTTTCGAACAGGACTTTGTCGCATGGCTCGGCCGTGGGCTCCCTCCCGATCTCGGATCGCCGCTTCTTGACGTCGGCAGCCTTTGTTCATCCGGCACAATCTTTTGTCAGAGGCTGCGCTCCACTCCGAGGCCGTCGCATCCAGCTGAAGGCCCAAGCGCTTGGAGGCTTTCAGTAAAGCCAGAACCCTGCAGTCGCATGAGTTGTCGAAAGTGTTCTTCTTGCCACGGGTACTGGAGTCGGTTCGAGGACAGTGCGACACCAGCTTCGACCCATTCGGCAGGCCCAGCCCTTCTAAAGAGCCTCACACAAGAACAGCTGACTCACACATCCCATGACCCCACACGCTGCTGCCTGCAGTGATCTTGATGGACGCCAAAGCCTCAAGGCGCGGGGACACTATGTAAAGTGCAAGAGGCGGCAACGTGCTGCAACAACAGCGCGGCGCACGGACACCCGAGTCTCCGGTGCTCCAAAGGCCTCCCAGCACGCCATGGTGCAGGCGAACTGGACAGTGTTTGTCCATGATGTGACCGGCCGTCTGCAGGGTCTTTTGAAACTTGCTCTGCACGCTGATCGTTGGAGGTGCACTGGAGGCTCTCCTCGCAAGGACATTGATTGCTTCTTGCCGCTCTTGCCCCTGTGACACATGGACGACGCGAGTGTGTGTCCCTCGCCTGACAGCCGGCGTTTGCCAGTCCTGGACAAGCCAGAAACTTCTTCGTGCCCTGCGCCTTGTGCTTCAGAGTCAATGCTGTGCCTTGTCAGAACTCTTGAAGACTTTGAAGGTACCTTTTCCTTCGAGTCTCGTTTTGCGACTCCAGGCAGCATCCGGAGATTCCGCTGAAACCTGGCTCCGAAACAGCGGCAAAGCGCATCTCGGGACAGTACACCTGCACACTGGCCTGCAGTCCTTCATTTAAGTCTTTGAAAGACCTGCACTGCAATGGATAAGCAGAAACTCGATGAGTCCCGCAATTAAGTGTCAAAGCTTGCGTGTACTTGCCAGAGCTGTCGCAGATGTCAGGCAGTTTGAAGACGTGAGCAGTCTCTCAAAATGCGCGCTAGTACAACAATCGCATGCCCAGGCGAAGACAGCTCTCAGCAAATTTGTTTATCAGCTCTAAGATCTTGGATAACTTGAGGAGTTTCGCTGGAGCTGTTTCTTCAAATGCATCTGCTGCGCAAGATTCTGAACTCGCACGGCCAACGCGCACCTTGATTTCGCATCCCACTCTTCGACACCATGTGCCTCACTCGAGCATGAATGTGAACTGATTGCTCCTTGTCGGTGCATCGAGCCTGTACGGCCAACTGGTCCAGGGAGGGTTCCTCAGCAAGCCCGCTTGGCTCCATGCCTGGTCGCTGCAGACCACGCAGCTGTGGAAATGTGGACAAGCTGATAACGAAGACAATAGTCAAAACGGTGAACTGAAAGAGAGACGGTTGGAAGGGGCCACGCTGGCTCGACACTAGTCTCGAAGGCGCAGTTGTGCAAGTTGGATGACGAAAGACATGGACAACTTGTGCTTCACGCAAGTGGGCGGTTTGACGTGAGAATGAAGCGCTGTTCAGCACCATCGCCCTTGGTTTCAGTCCCTCGGGACAGCGGCACTCAGCAGCTCAAGGAACTTTGCAACATGACAGCATAACACGAACTGCAACATCTCATCTCTGCAAAGACTCAGCACTCATCATGTTTTCGTCGTGCAAGCATAGTCTTGCATCGATCTTCCGTCTTCCACAGCATAGGTTCAGGACATAGCAGAGTCAGCTCACACATGCTACTCATGCCTTATGCCATCCTAACATTATAGAATCAGTAGCAAAACGTGCACGGGCTGAAGAATGCCAGGGCGACGATTTTTCAGGCCCTCCAGCATGTCCATCAGCAATTGCTGGTACTGGCCACACGAATCGCTGAGATGCTCCCGGAGTGCTAGGGATGATCTCTGCTCTGGGTCTAGGACTCTTTCATGAAGCGGTACCACCGGATTGGGATAGCGGTACATGGCCTCGGTGACAGCAGACCCTGGGGAAGCACGACACGAACCGACCGGTGACCCTGCTGAGCAGATGCGCTGAGATGCAGACAGCCAAAAGGCACACCTCTTGAAAATCCTCGAAGTGAAGAGCCTCCTCCTGCTCGGCGGGCCTCGCAGTTCCACGTTGGTTGTGTCTTTGTCCTTGTCCTCCTAGTGTTGAGACCCGTGCGGAACGCGCAGAGACGCAGAAGAAGGCGGTATGCCCTGGTGTCAGGAAGGCATCGTGGCTCACACCACGCCTCGTCCTGGCCACCCAGCCACCCAGCCTTGATGACAGGCGGCATGGAGGCATTCCTCTTCTGCTTCTGACACCGCTGCCTGCGTCGCACCTCAAGCGACAAATCAGAAGCTGCAGGTGCTTCATGACACTTGAGATGTCACTTCCGTGACGCTTCAGCGTGTCTCGCTACTCTGAGCACCCGAGCCTCTGCCTGACCTCTGAAGCAGAAGTTCGCATGGACCGATTGGAAATGTCGTCGGTGCGTAAGCTTGCGGTACACGCCCCTGGTACGTGTGAAGCCAACTAAAAAAAAAAAACGAAGCACGTCGGACCGGCCTGGCAGTATCAGCCGGTAGTGTCGCACCTACCGAAGGCACACGGATCACTCAGTGCAGTACTGTAGAGACCATGCATTTCATCACCGACGGCCATGCTACAGAAGTCTGTGCCAGCCGAACCCTGTTGACATTTCCCATGTTGTGAAGAGTCTCTCACACTACTTGTTCGATGCCTAGTAGCGCAGCATCAGCAAGGAGGCAAATGAGCGAATCCTTGAGGGAGGAGTCAAGCGTTGATACATGGTACTTGTCTAGCCCACCTGCGAAAATCGTCCTCTAGGCGTGTACAGGTCCACGAGCAGTTTGAGAGTGCATCCATTGTTTTGGCTGGAATGCTTCGTGGTCAGAAGCCACTCAATCGCTTTTACCAAACGCCTCCCCAACTACGCGGTCGAGGCGACAAAACCGCAAGAGAACGGCACCAGAGTCAACAATCGACCACACCACATTCACTACTATCCATCAGGCGGGGCTGAAGCGACACAGAACAAATGCCCGAGCACTCCTCGCCCATCTGAAGATGCACCTGCAAGATCCGATGCTTTGCCCGATTACATTGCGAAATGTGACCCGGGGTGGCCGGTGCCTCATGCTGCGGCTTTGCCCTCAATCCATGTTCAGAGTACCTGAACAAAGGGGGGATGCTGCAGCTGTAAAATCTGCAGCCATCTCACCTCAAACTCGGCCCGCTGCAATGCAAACACCTTGCTCAGGAAAGGTTCCCACTCTTCCTGTATATGCAGAACCTCGGGTCAAGCTCGCACCAGACAGCAGAAGGCGGTTGAAGTCAAGCCGCTGCCTCCTCTTCCTGAGACGCGTTGGTAAACTCGTCCCGTGCATCGCACCTCGTGAAAAGGGAAGCGCTCGGCCATCGGCTTGTGCTTCGCTTGTGGTCCAGGTGCCCCGCTGAACTTTCTGCAGGTGGCTTCCCACCAACTCTTTGAAGGACCTGTGCTTGGTCGTAGACGAAATGTGGAAAGCGTACCACATCATGGCCACGAAAGTAGCGACTCAGCAACTCAGCAGTCGCTGTTTCACTCTGCTTACCTGTTTTGGATCGAAGGCCGCCGTCGCAGTGTCAATGTACAAGACCCGGCCAGCAAGGGCAGTGCTTCTAGCAAAGCTTGATGATTGATGCGCTAATAGCTGCAGGCTCACAGTTAAAGTGGTAGCACGCAGTCGCATGGATTATGTATATCAGTAAACCAACACAGAGTTCCACCTTGCAAGCGGCACGGCAAATGCTCCGGCTTGTCGAGCGCCTTCCTACGCGGAATCTGGCGATAGTTGGTACAGACTAGTTGAAGATAACAAGAGGTTCGCGAGCTTCAGCAAGGGAGCGTTGATGCAGCGTTGATGCAGGATATCAGCAGGAGGGAGGCCCCGTTACAAGCCTGTGGGATTTCAATGCAAGTGTGTATCGCTGTACAGAAAGGATGTATCGGCGCAGGCTCTGGGAAGCACTAATCGTTGGCTTGGGCAGGGCTTGGCTCTGGCTGCGGTAGGCAGCAGCCTGCCAGCTGCTAGGATGCCAGAGAAGGATTGCATATGGTTCTGGATGCATGTTTACATGCGGTATTGCCGATGATACACGGTTGACCCAATGTGTAGCCATTGCAGACTGCAGGGTTTTGTTTCGTAAGGGACAATAACCTTGACTTCAGCATGGGAGGATTTCACGCTAGAGGTCAAGGATAGCGCTAGGGCTCACCAGGGATTGGTTTGGGTTGGCTCAGCTTTGTCGGACTTGCCTGCGATGCTATGCTATGTCGTCCTAAGTGGTTCTGTTGGCTTGAAATGATTACCGATGTTGGCGAAAGATGCTTGCATGAAGCTCCACATGATCTTTTGCAAGAAGGCAGAACGATTTCGCCATTCGTGTAGTCATGTGGAACCACTGGCCCAGATTAGCTGGAGAAACAGGGGCCTCCGGACCATGCGACAAGGGTCCCAGCAGACTGGAGAGAGACCGGACCACAGGACGACGGAGCCCAGAGTAGTGCCAAAACAGAGAACGAAGATACTCGCAGGCCCCCAAGCAAGCCCTGATGCGAGCTTAAAGCTTTTGGCCAGCTGCACTGAAATGACAGCGAAGACGACAACACAGACTCAAACACGCAACATCTGCAGTCATGCAGGCACTTCTCAGGATCGAGACGTGCCCAAGCGCAGCTAGCAGTATAGTAGTAGCAAAGAACGATAATAAGTCATCGAAGTCGTCGTCGTCGTCGTCGTAGTCGTCGTCGTAGTCGTCGTCGTAGTCGTCGTCTTAGTCGTCGTAGTCGTCGTAGTCGTCGAAGTCGTCGTAGTTGTCGTAGTCGTCGTAGTCGTCGTAGTCGTCGTAGTCGTAGTAGTCGTAGTAGTCGTAGTAATCGTAGTAATCGTAGTAGTCGTAGAAGTCGTAGCAGTCAGTACTAGTAGCAGTAGTAGTAGTAGTAGTAGTAGTAGTAGTAGTAGTAGTAGTAGTTGGTGTTGTGGTTTTCTGTAGTAGTACTAGTACTAGTACTAGTACTTGTTGTCACCATAGGAGTGGGAGTAGGAGTAGGAGTAGGCGTACGTGTAAGCCTAGGAGGAGGAGGAGGAGGAGGAGGAGGAGTAGTAGTAGTAGTAGTAGTAGTAGTAGTAGTAGTATGTTAGCAGTAGCAAGCAGTCGTCATCGTCGTCGATGTAGCATGAATTGCAGTAGCCGCTCCGGGGAGTCATACTAAGCAACCGTACTGTGGCTCGCCATACAGCAGTGCATGCTAAACAAATCCATACCCCTTGCGATGTTCCCTGTCCTCCCGGTGCACACAGACTCGCAACAAGAAGCGGATGAAGCCCGACCTGCACAGCCACAAAAACTTATCAGATCGACTTGTTGCATGAGAACATGGGAAAAAAAGCAACTCATGCGAAGTGTTCGGCTCTTTTCTTGCGGTGGTGTCACTCCTTGCACTGGGGCTCGGCGGAATGGTCCGCTTGCCCGACTTCTCCTCCTTGTAGCAGCAACAGCCGCCACTGCAGCGGCCGCTGTCAGCATCACGTCTCCACGAAGATCTGAAACTCCTGCTGATCGTGTCATCAGGACTTCGCAGATCCAGGTTTGTGCAGCAGGTCCTGCTGTGTATCGCACCGCCGTTATGTTTGCACTGCCTGGCAGAGTTCTCAAGCTGGCCGATAACTCAAGAGAGGGCGTGAGCGACGCAGCGACCCACTATGGCGACAATCCTCGATTCTTGGCACAGCCCTTGTCCTCCCTGCCTTGGCCAGCGCTGAGAAATCCTTGATGACCACATCTAGAGCGTTTGATGCCTCAGCCATGTACCTGAAAGCAGAAGGCAGTTCTGGCACTCTTCTTAACCCGGCCACTGACAATGCAGTCCAGCGACTTTCTGAAGCTCTCTGGCCCGCCATTGATGGCAAAGATTGTGCAGTAGGCCTCCAGCCATGGGTTAAGTGGTCGGCTTCACTTAAAAAGGCCAGATCGGGGCCTGGTAGTCCAGCTGCGACAGGTTCTTCAGAACATCCTCAGACAGAAGGCATCTCCCCCAGTGTTCGGCATCCCGGGACATTCCCCGCACCTCCAGGTCCGGGAGATTCGGCGGATCCTCTGAGTAGACCTCCATCAAGGCATCCTGGAATGGATGGCACTGGCCTTTACTGCAGGGCCAAGGGCCAGGGAGTCCTTGATCTTGAAGAGAGGTGACACGGTCCCCACAGTCCCTGCCACGCGTCGTATGTAATCGCCATCGCAGTCAACACCTCAGAAATCACGCGGATCGGATGTGCCATGCAGTGCTTCTTATCCCTCAGGATTCAGGCAAAGCTACGATTCCAGCACTCGTCTGCCCTTAATTTGTCCAGCGCTCGTTTGCTAGCCAGGATCTGCTCTTTGTAGCCTGGCATAAGCTGCAGCCCCTTGCTCCCTTTTGCATTGGCTTGCATGTTCGCTGCGGAACTGGCATGAAAACCTGTTGTGAGCCTTCAGCAGCCGCTGGTTGTGCAGCGGCCGTGAAGCCCAACGCCAGGAAGCTGTTCCCGAGTGTGCGCCTCGGCAAAGAACCACATCCACTTTGCCCTGTCGAACCGGGCCGCGTGCGAGAAAGGCCTGGTGACTTGCTCGGAAACTGCTGGGTGAGCGCCCTGTGCAACAGGCATTGGACATGTTGGCAGCTTCAGGCAGCATGCATGATGCAAACAAATCAGAAAGCCATGTACTGTTCGCACGGTGGTTTGCGTGGTTGGCACACAAAAAGGGAGAGCGGGCTCGCCTCCGAAGCCGCCCCAGCTGTAAACGAGCCAGACCAGGAGGAGAGTCTGCAGAACAGCCCGCCATCGGGCCAAAGAGGCAGGAGAAAATCACAACCCTTGCAGTCAAACATGGTGACACCGCACCTCAAAGCCAGCACCACAAGAAACAACCTCCAAAGTTGCCAGTTCCTTGAACCTTAGCAACGAACTTCACATTGCAAAGCCGACGAAAGCTCGGCTGGCCCTGCGAGCTCAGGAGATCTCATGCATTCGTGCGGCTTTCGAAGTGTCGAGCATACCAGGTCTGATGTCTGTAGCACACTCGCTGCCGTCGCTGCGCTCGCTGAGCTTGTGAGGATGCTGCCATTGCTTGGAGGGCAGAGCACGGGCTGGGCCCGCTGGGGGCCAAAGGGCGGAGGCCATGATGTCGCATGCATCGCAGATGCATCGCAGATGCATCGCAGATGCATCGCATGCGTGCAGACACACTGATTGGGATGGGCCCTCAGCTCCGAGGGTCGGACGCACCGAGGCCCAGCTGAAGCCAGCTGAGGTCCTTGGCGGCCTGGCCCTGGCCCTGGCCCTGGCGCCTCGGAGGCAGAGGCAGAGCTTCAAACGAGAGCCGAGAGCCTTCAACTGAGATCCTCCCTCTCTTCAGCGGTTTTGAAGCTCAGGCCAGAGCCCATCCATGCGGGAGAGCTCAGGCCTTAAGAAGCAGAGACATGCAAAAGGCGTCCTTGCCAGGTCGTGATGCGAGCAAGCAGCAAGAAGGGAAGTGGCGAAGACTCGTCTGGATCCAAGATCTGGCAGCTGGCAGATCGACTCCAGGGTCTAGAGACTTCGACCAAGCCCAAGGATAGCCACCTGGGAGTCTGCCTCCGGCTCTGCACGGAGCACCTGATCTAACGCATTCCGCACAGGACTGGCAGTCTGCCTGCAGTCGTGCGAGCCTCTCGGAAGATCTCTTGGGCAGCTTGCAAAGATAGAAAGAGACAGGGACAGCACCTCTGATGCCACGCGGGATTTGGAATCGGGATGATTGGCTTGCACTGTCGACACACAAAGGTAACAGGAGACGTACAAGAACCGTCTGACTGCCTGAGGCTACCGCATCCTCGCCTCCCGGTAAAGCCTAGCAATGCCACTCCAGCACACCTGCTGCAGAGCTCTGAGGCTTCTCTCTCGCTTCAGCCTGCTTATCATATTCGACTCGGCCAGAAGCATCTTGCATTTCCCCACACCGCCCTCCCTCCCCGGAGGATTGCTTCGAAGGCCATCGGGTCACTGCGAAGCATCTCGGCTTGCTGCAGATGTCGGCCCAGTCGAAATGCAATTTCTCCGTCGTGCCTTTACGTTTGGGTCCGGATTGAGACCGGTGCATCCATGCCGCAAATCTTGGTCGACGGCGAGCGAAAGCTGAAGTGAAACTGTAAAAAGATGCCGAGCCATGCATGAAGTATTCAACCCTTCGCCGAAAGGTTGCGGAAAAAGTGCGGGGACTGATCACACAAGCAGGGACACTTAACCATAGGGCCCTCAAAGTAATTTGGGCCGAAGACCCGCGTCTGGCTCAGTTCGAGTAAGGGAATGCTAATGCCCCCTCGGAGCCGGCCTGGCAGTTGCCTCTGTGCCCACCTGCAGTGCCAACTACCAAGGGCGGGCTATTCCTCTCAGGGACTACTGCGGCGGCCAAGATGCGGATGGAAAAGAACTGCATGATGTTCGCGATGAGGACTAAGTTCTCCCTCACCTGATCTGGCTGGGCATGCAGGGTTTCGGGCTCGAAGCTGATGAAGCTGAGAGTCCCACGACATTTCGCACTCGCGAAGATCTCGTTGCCGCGTGCTCTGTTTCGGTGAGGAGGACCCAATCCTCACCGAGGAACCAAGAAGCCACCGGAGAGGGCCATGCAGCGCTACAGCGCGCTGTCGCTGTCCTCGTCGCGAACCAGCTCTTGAAGGGCAATCATGACTTGACCTGGGATCTAACACGACTCCAGGCTCGAAGGAGGGAGACTCAACCTGAGGAGGCAACCGCCACCTGTACCTGTTAATCTGCTGCTTCTCGCTTCTTCGTCTGAGAGCCCTCCTATGCAGAACGTCGGCTCAGCGGAGCACCCTTGACTTTCAGTCTTGCGTGCACCTGCAATCAGAAAAAGGGGCAAAAATAACCGCCGCGCACTGCGAAGCACTAAGCGGAGAGCCCTTCTCATCATGACCTCGCTCAGAAAGCTCTGCAGTCGCCTTTCCAACGTAACAAAATCGGGGACAAGCCCAGTGCAGCAGATGCACTAATGAGAAGAGATGCCCACAACGGGCCTCTGCAGGGAGACATGTAGGCGCTGCTGCAGCTTGACGGCCTCGACTACGTTCCGCAGCCTGCATGTCACACGTGCCCAACGTCGGTGAAGAAACACCCAACACCCTCAAGACCATTAATGCCTTGCCCCATCATCCTCGTCACCTCGAGGCGCCCACTGCCGCAACCACTCGATTTATGCTCATGTTGCAACGGCAGTCCCGTAAAAGCAGGGTGCGGACTCTTCACGCAGAAGGCATGCAAGCGATGCAGGTTATCTTCAGGCACCTGGCTGTGAGCACGATTCAAGCAGACAACTTGACAACAGCATGCACAGGCTAGCTGGATCGTGTGGGATGAACAGGCCACTGCGGCCAGCGACTGCGGCATTGATGCCACCCGCAGGCCTGCCTGAAGCAGCACGAGCACCGTCTCCAAGCTCCCGCTCCCGCTCCGTGCCTGCGTGAACTGCTCCATCTCCAGGAACATCTTCGCAAAGCCGGAGCTGGAGGAGGAATCAGGTCTCGGCGGCACCCCACCAAAACCAAAACCAAACCGCTCTCTGCTCTCTGCGGCCACGGCCTTAGGTTGGGCCAGGTGAGAAGCAGGGCGGCCACCAGCGTCGCGAGTGGGGCCTCCGAGACCCCGTTGCTCCCTTCCAGCGCCCCCGGGCCACGCGCCTTCTTTGGCAGCTCAGCTGCCTCTTGGCAGGACACGAAGGCCTCCTCTGTCAGGCTGCAAAATGGCACACCTCGTCACAGAGTCGCGTTGCGGCGGCACAACGACATTGCTTGCTGTCTTGGGGGATGACACCGCTTCGTCAAACGGAGGACCAGAGCGATCACGTCCCGCTCCTACACACGACATCTTCTTGACATTTCTTGACGGTGATGGTGGATGGGGCACAACACCGCTTCGACGGAACACATGAAAGCTCGCAGAGGCCCTGCCCCAAATCTGTACGTCTACATGCCATTTACGCGCGAATGCATGGATGCGTACATACCAGGTATTGTGCAGTCGTGGTAATAAGGCAGCATGAATGCATGCTCGAAACAAATATTCGGAAATGCAGACACCTAACTCGCAAGTAGCCGGCAGTGCCAGCCCCCGTGGTCGTTGGGGTTTCAGGCAACATGATGGGCCTTGGGCCGCTGAACGAGTGAGGAATGGTCTGAGGCTTCCGGCTTTACTGCCCAGTATTCCCCTTCCGTTTTCGTCGTCCTGAGAATCAGTGTGGGGCAGCCTTTCATGCAAACTGCAAACCCAAAAAGAAAGTGAGGACGTTGCGTTGAGTTACTTTAATTCCACAAAGCCGGCCCTTCGAGGAGGACGCTAACATCTCTCTTGAAGAATGTTTGAAAGACGCTGTGCAACTCAAAGCGGGAAGCAGGTGCAAACAGCTTTGAAGTTTACTTTGTGGAGTTGTGGTTGAGAGTGGGAACTGTTGGGTGGGTTGGCTGCATTTGGTGGATTGGGGAAGAGAGGGCTAGATCTTTGATTTTTCGTGGGTTTTCCAGCCCGATTGCCTTGACCGGGAAAGGCTATCCTACAGTTCGAGCTACATCTACCCAACCTATTGCACAGCAATGAAACACAAAAGCTGTAAGGGGCCTTTTCCACACAACCAAATCAAGAAATCGTCCTTGGCTTCACCAGGTCTGGTCGTGCAGGCTGTGACCTGTCGCCGCCAAGGTCAGCTTCCACACATCATGTCAAAATCGGAGTTTCCGAAAATTAGGGTACCTTATTCTGGGGTCCTTATAATAAGGGTCCTACTATATTAGGGTACTATATTAGGGTCCCTATTTTCGGAAACTCCCAAATAAAGCCAAGCCTGCTCCATTAGGTTCTCGGCCTGTGCACAGCATATGATTGTTGGATATGTTCCCTGAGTGCAGCATATTGACAACGATTCGGCTTCGTCCCATGTTTGGCTTTTTGCATCGACCTTTTCCGACTGCACTGGCCCACTTTCAGGTTAAATCAAACTCGGATCCGCTTAGTGTGCTCTTTCTGAGATTCTGGTGCTGTTCTGGGTGCTCGTGCCTGAATCATAAACAAACACCGAACCGCAAGAAGGGGGAGTCCCAAACCTTCCAGGATTTCCCGGAATCAACCGTGGCGACCCCAACTCCAACGAGGTGCGGAAGGACAAACTACATAAACCCTCACGCTGACATGTTCTGGCAACAGCCCACCGCACCAACCCTAAACCCGAAAGTATGGAAGCCAGAGTAGCCGAAACTATGGGGTTACATTGCACGGTTGGGAAATGTTGAACACCATAGGCATCGCAAGCAGCAGACCATGAACCTCAAAAGGGTAAGTGGCACAGCAGCGTTGAAACCCTAAACACGAAATGGGGGATGGGGGAATGGCAAACAGCCCGAATCCGAAACTCTCGACAAGGGAGTGGCAACCTGCAATCCAAAACCCGACACAAACAAGTCGCAAAACGGGGAGGGAAGTGGAAACCCTGAACTACAGTGGGAGCGGCGGGAAGTGCCGAAACGCAAATGCGGACTTGCAAAACCAAAGCCCGAAAAGCTCCTCCACCGCCTTGACAAGCTGGACAGGGTTGATACCTACTACACTCCACCAGGCCGACCGGCCAAAGTCCGTGTCAGTACTGCATCACTCTCGGCGGCACTGCTTTCCATGACTGGCGGTAAAACCATCGAAATCCCGTTCGCCTTGTTTCGGGAAAGAAGGCCCTTGAGAAGCTCTCCCAACTACCCATCCAAGAACACACGGCAAGCGTCGATGCAAATCACTGCCTCGATGACGGTTGGTGCCTTGTAGGAGGCAAGTCTTCGACAGTCGCAGGGGGTGTGTAAGCTAGACAACTGAGAAGGCAATCCGGCCATCTCGCCCGAGGTCAGCACCACTGCCTTGATGAGTCGCAAGAGAACTTGACCGGAAGCAAGATCATTCCCGAGGTTCTTGACCTGAAGATGTTCGGTAGGTTCGGATGCCCTACAGTGTGCCTCAAGTCACATCATGCCGTGCTGCCCGAAGAAGCAGCCGTGGGCGGTCACACGGCTGTACAAACCCAACACCGCGCAGACTCGTACTCTGCCGACATCTGCATCTGAACATGTCCGTCAGAGCAGCCGTGCCGGTGCCACGATCGAGCTCCGGACACCTGGCATGTCAGCTTGCGGAATCAAGGCGCCGTAGACCTGCAGAGCAGCGTGCAACGGCCATGGCAGGTGCTTGCTGAATTCAGTGGGACTGTCGCGGCCTGCAGATTCACCCAGCGTCGCAAGATGTCATACAAGGCCTTACGGCGTTACGGACAAACGATGACACAAAGCTTTGCACCCACTACCTTAGAGTTTTAAAGGAGAAGTGGCAAAAACCATCGATACAGCGCCCACCGATAAATCGGACCACTGTAGAAGCCGTCGCATCCGAGGGAAGATTAAGCCGAAGGACCATCTCTTGCAAGGCTGCGAGCGGCTCCCAGGGAAAGCAAAGCCTCATCAAAAGGTGAGGCTTATGTCAGTGCACGTCAGCAGCGATGCCAAATGCGCCGCATCGGCCTCGAAAGATCGACGAAGCCTTCCCAAGCACCTCCGACCAGCTTCTCGAACCTTTGCATCTCGAAGTCTCGAAGCAAGGAAGCCAAGAACCCTAAAGAGAAAAGAACCCGGCATGCTCATGACGGCAGCCATCGAGTTTGCCTCTGAAGGCGATGGTTGCTTGGATTCTTAGATACTTTTTGTTGGCCCCTGCCTCTTTGATCTCCCCTCCTGTCCGCTCTGTCCTTACAACAAACAACGCAGCGTGCTGCCCTCAGATCCCTCGTTGCTCTGCCTCTCAGGCAGGGGCTCGCGGCCTGCATCGGTTGAAACCTGACAAAGCCGAAGAGCGCCAAACGAGCATCTTGCGCCAATGAAGCCGCATGCCTAAACACAAGATGAAAGGATGTCCACGTCCACAACAGAAACCAGAGGCCCAAGACGAAAAGCCGGGCACGACCAAAAAGCGGCTGAACCCATTCACGAACCGCCGTCGGCGTGCCTGCTTGAATGGTCTCTTCGACAAGTCCTGCCGCGTCACACGTCAGCCACACTCACATACTCACATGCCTCCGCCGCGCAGAGGCAAAAGGCATCCTGAAGACTGCCCGTCGCCTGCATCAGAGCACAGAGCGGATTAGGCTCTGTCAGCGACTTGCAGATCTGAGCTCATCTGGGCCGACCCCGTTCTTGATTTGCTGCAGACAGGCATGTCCAATGTTCGTTCTGCTCACACTACAGTACCTCAGACTCCCCAAAAAACGCTGGCCTCGCGCAAGAGAGTGGCACAGAGCGATGCCCTTACTGGCAAAATCAGAACGGCACACACGTGCAATGCCAGGGCTTGCGGCCCCGGCTTCAGCGCAAACCGCTGCCCGGAAACAACATCCAACGGGCTCAACAGGAACCTGCACAAGGCGAGACGAGTTTGCTCAACGTGGTCTGACACTCTCGGAAGCAAGCTGGCACCTGGAAATGAGAAGCGGTGACAAAGACACGAAAGCATTTTGCGCAGCAGCCTGCTCTCGGAAAAGCCCGAGGAGTTCGATCGCCGTGCAAGCCCAGCCATTGCCGAAAGGCTGCATGTCAGGTGACAACATCAAGCTCGGTCCCACGCGGCTCGCCGATCTGAGTCTTTCCTGGGATCTTATTAAGGACACGCTGAAGAAGCTCGCTGTCACAGGAAGCGAGCTGAGCAGCTCATCCAGCACCTCTAGATCTTCAGGATCAAAGATCGTCTTATTTCTCCTGGCAGGTCATGCTCTCTGAGCGCCAGGGCCTACTCAGGGGCAACTTGCCTATAAGCCCTGAACATCGCATACAGCACGGTGAGGATCTTGCCGTCCTCTCGCATAGCTTTTCATTTTTGCAGAAGGATTGCGGTCAATAACAATCTCCTGGAAAAAAACCTCCAACGACTTTGTCTGGAGCGTAGGTATCGCACGAACCTCGCGACACCTGCAGCCCGCAGGCGACACAACGCGAGCACAAGCAGTGCCAAAAGCCCCAAGCAAGCAGCAGCGACAGCAGGAGGAAGTAAAACTTGAAGCTTCGGCGGCAGCCGCCATCGCTGTCATAGCCACCACGATAACAGCAAAACCCTCCTCGGCATCCTGCCTGAAGCCGTAGCTGGAACTATCTGCTGCCGCCCAGTTGGACCTGACCAGTGACTAGGGCAGTTCCGTGCTACATGCCAGTCAGCGGAGCACGGCCTGCCATTCTCGTCATCCATCGCATCAGTCAGCAACACCGAAGCCTTGTCCACCCAAACCCCACTGAGCCGCTGCGCCGCTCGCACCTCGAGGGGATGACGCTGTGATGCGCTTCTGCCAAGATACCTTGGCGGCAACCCATTCTCCCTTGGGGGCAAATCAAATGCCACCAACTCAATACTTCCGGGCGTCAACCCTGAAAGGGAAAACGAAAGTGGGTGCAATGAGGATCCGGAAGGACGAGGACAATCGAAGCGCACACTCACACACAAGGAACGCTCAGGCTCCGCAATGCAAACCGCTCATCCGAGAGATGGAACTATGCTCGCTGAAGTGGCAGTTCAACTCATCTGCCAGGGATGTTGACAGCTGCAGAGCTAGAAGAAAGCAAACTCGAGGGCTCCAAAACAAGACCTGGTTCGCGTCCGTAGGGGACTTTTGCGGGTCTCAGACCGTTGAGCCTATCCCAAAGACCACAACCCCCACCCTGCGGAATGGGAGAAAACGGTTCTGCTGAGCTCAGCGCAGTTGATCCACCGGACAAGAATCTCCTGCTCTTTCTAAGGATAACTCCGGATCGCAAGACGAAGTGAAGACTTCAGTCCTCTGCAGGGAGCATGCCGATATCCTGCCAGAATCTCAAGCGGCCAAAAAGCGCCGAGTGCCCGCTTGAACGGAGCCAACTCTCGCGCTCTGTCACGCTCACAAGCACGGGCCTGCTGCCTTTCCGCAACATCGGTTGCCAAGAAGATGAGGTCCTGATGCTTTCCGACTCGTACGTACACCTAAGAAGGGCCTGAGAAAAGAGACTTCAGCTCCTTTCCCAGGAGCCTGTGTCGACAGCCCACGCTCTCAAGCTTGCTGAAATCCATCACAAAGTCCATGAAGACCTGGCAAAAACACTCCAAGCTGGCCCTGAATAGGCACGTGGCGCAGAGCTTGCCTCCATGATGAGGTACAGCGACTGCCTATTAGCATTGCGCTTGTCTGACTGCTTCCCGGCCGTCTTTGCTCGCAATGTTCATGCCTTGCTTCAACTGGAGGCATGGTCTGAAACCTGCACACCGGTGATTCTTTGCTCTGGCCAGCATTCGGTACCAGCAACGCAGTGCCTGAAGTCCAGGCGACTTCTTTCCTCTTTCAATGCTTGCATCTTTCGCTCCTGAAGGGCGTCCATGCAGTGCATCAGTGACTTCTTTCACACGGAAGTCTGAGAGATTTGCGATCAAGTAGTGTCCCTCAGCCAACGCGAGGCACTATCTATCACAGAAGTCTCGCACATGTCATGGTCCGTGCTGCAGGACTTGAGGCGGCTGCAGTCTTGTCATACTGCACATCTTGCATGCTCTTGGTCTTCTTGGCCTCTATACTGGTCCAAGTGCTGACTTCTATAAGCCCAGCACCTCTATGCCTCAACATCCCGCAGACGGACAGAGAGCAGTCGAAGATGAAGCTTCTTGAGTTGAAGTTCCTGTGCTTACGAACCTTCCATTTGTCATAGCAGACAGCTGCAGGACCGCTTCCTCCTTGGCACGGTTGCAAAGGGCCCCGGTGGTCAGCAGGGACCAGTACGTGAAGAAGACGCCGACATACTGCAGGGCATTCACAGGTTCCTCACTGCGCCGCAGATCCCAAGACCACTGCCTCGCGGTTGATGCGAGTCGACCTCTCGGCCTTCTGCAACTGCTGTGCCGCCATCTTATCCTCACGAGCCGCATCACGTTGTGCGTTGTGCGCGTTGCGCGTGTTGCCACAACGGTCTGCGCGCTGGTCCCTGTCTCCTCAACGTACTGCAGCCTCCAGAAGGCGAAGGCCCAGCCTCTCGACACAAAGAGCACAGGAGGCGCCTGGCGCGGCTTTTTGCCGGCCGACCTACCACGAAGCCAGCTGTGAGCTCCTTCGCCGAAGCAAGGTTTCTCTCTGCCTCTCGCAGTCAAAACGAGTCGAGGTCGGTCCTGTGCCAAGCCCAACATGTTGTAGGCCGCGCTGTCGGGAGCAGCACAATGCAGCACAGAACTGGCTTAACAAGGCCCTTCAAAACCTGTCTGTTAACAGTTGTGGAATGCTTGGCCTTGTCTTCTTCAATCACAACAGGTACCAGCACAAAAAAACCACGCCTGGACTGAGCATCAAGTGTGGAGATGATCTGGTTGCCCCACCCTGCAGATCAGTTGGAGCACAGCGGTGCATCGTGAAGCACTTCACACACGAGATCCAGGCTTATCTGACACACCAGCTGCGTACAATGCCACCTTGCTACGTTGCTCAATTCTGACATGCCGGAAAGTTATCTGGGCTTCCGAGGCACCTTTGGACATTTGACACGAAGCCCATGGGAACCACGTTGACTTTGTCCTCACCTTAATCACAGCAAATGACATGTCCAGGACAGACGATCCTTTTCTGCTTCAAAGCCTCCATGTTCAGCTTCTTTACCTGCCCCTTGGGAAGCCCTCAGGCCTCTCCTCCACGAGGCAACTGAGGCCAGTCTTTGCATGTGATCCGCGTTGCAGACATGTCCCCAGCCTTCTGCACCACATCTCTTGGGCAGACAAGCGTGGAGGGGCCTCTTCCTGCGTAGTACCCCAAATCAGCTGCATCAAGATGAGTCATCTTCACGACCTGCATCTGCCAGCGATTGACTCGGGCCTCGTATTCACGAAACACCTTCTTCACGCTTCATGCTGTCTTACGAAGCACGCACAAAGGCAACCGAGCAAGCAAGCTGGAGCCCGCGCCCACACCCACATGATCCCACGTGCTCACACAGACAGCATTTGATGAAATCACACATTCGTCTCGGTGCCATACCAGATCCTCCATGACTTGTGCGTGTTGCCTGCAACTGGGGACATTGGCATGAGGCACCCCGTCCACGGAAGCCCTGCCTGGGCGTTCCAATGCTGTCTTCTGATATTGCAGCATAGTGGCCTTTGAAGACCGACTCCCAAAACAAAAAACAGCTTCAACAAGCGAGAGCAAGCGCAAGGTCGTCGCTAGCTGTCTTGCGAGCTGTCACGACCTCCTCGTCAGCAAATAGCGAAACCTGTCACTTCCGGCATGTTCAATTCTGGATGATAGACACAAAGTGCAGCCTGGCCTGAACGTGGTGAAGCAGGCTAGTCAGTAACCAGGTCCTAAGCAAAGCCGTCCGTATGTCTTCCGGCTTCCTGTGCTTGGTACATGAACTGGAGCCATGCGACCTTGAAGTGCGCAAGTCCGGAGAGTTCGTGTCCAAATCTCCGATGTCCTGGATCTCGAAAGCCTGCCCACATAAAAACCGAAGTAGATTGACATACTCTTTCTGATTTCTCCATAAGGGCCGAGCCAGGGTCTTCAACAATTCGAAGGCGAGCTTGGCAGCATGCATCTGAGATTCTGAATCCTGCATCGAGCTAAGTGTTTCGAACGACGTGTTCATGTCTTCATGATGCGATGTGGCACTAACACCGATCAGAACCGCTAGCATTCCAGGTGCCCTGCTGATCCAAAGCTGTAACTTGCGTGCCTCCTTGCTGTCAGACATGACCCGACATCTTGCAAGGAGGCCTTGCAGAGCAGATCGGACACAGTCCAATCTACGTGCTAGGAGGCCGAGATTCTAGATCCAAGACTCATGCCATAAGCTGCAGCACTGCCACCTTTAAGCCAGCCTTTGACAACACAAGAACGGCGAACGTAAAATACTGAGACCAGATGGATCTTAGACACAAGCAGCCAATCTTCGCGGCAGCCTCACGCTTTGATGGCAAAATACTTCCAGCTTCAAGAATGCAGCGCGTACAGAAAGCAAACAGGAGTAGCCACGCCTTCTTGAAATCCTGCTCTGCTTTCGGCCATGACGAATCTCTCGCTGACCTCGCCACTGCCATCTGGAAATTTTGATCTCCGTCCCAAGTCTAACAACGATTATCGTAAGGGACAGACAAAACAGCCGGTGGTTGCAGGGACGGCAACTTTCCCAAGGGCAACTGGCATGGCAGCTTTGTCAAACTTTCCAAAAATTGCCAATCCACGCATACCAACATTCCACAAACTTAGCTGGCAATGCTCGTCTGGTATGTACGCCCACCAATGGAATGCTAAATTGCCTGCCAAACAGAACTTCGACACGAATTCCTCACGACAGGGCTCCTTGAAATGTTCGCAAACCTGATGGATGTGTGCACTTCTTCGTGCGGCTTCGGTGACCACCTCCGTCTTGGAGGCCTGTGCATGGCACATGTAATTCATGCTCAGTGTGGCCTGAGGAAAGGACCCAGGCGAAGGAGCCATCAGGAAGAATGCGCAACATCTGTCGATCTCTTCTTGCAGAAGGCTGTAATTGTGACTGAAAGCAATGCCAACCTCATTCTGCAAGCACCCTACATGCCCATGATGAACAAACTTGGCACCCTACATGACGTACCTCTTGTTGAACAATCGGCCATCAATGCACGTTAAGCTGGCATGAAATCATGTCAAAAAAAGCATTTGGGAGCTACATGGAATACTGTTCAAAATCGAGTGCGTAAACCCCATTTAACGGAAAAGGAATCTTAGCATTGCTAAAATATCAGACAAAGCGTTCAAAACATCGCGATGTGAAGCTGCGGTCACCAAACAGACTGCGTTAATGCCATCGGCCCATCGTATTAGCACTAGGCACCATGCACCCACGCCGTTGCAACTAGTTTTTTTGGAGCTGTCTCGCACCACCACGAAGCTGCGGCAATTCCTGCTCCGTTCTCAAAATATAAAAACTGAACATTCCCAAGAGCAACAGCACCAGGGACCATTGATGGATACGTCACGTCCGCCATTTTGCGAAATGTGCACAGTGCCATACACCGCGACCATCATAACGCTGCAACACCGAATCTGGTCGCTCCCATCACCGCATTCGATGGGGGCGGGGTCTGGATTGAGGTTTTCAGGGTAATGACTTTCGTTGGCACCAAGGTGTTTTGGTCCCAGGCCGATGCCACTCCTTTTCTGAAGGGCCACTGTACCTGCGGGCGCGGGATTGCTTGCATGAAACTCTTCCGTGGTCAGGTGCAGTCATTGCCGCATATGCACCTGCTGGCATTTACACTTTGTCTCAGGCCGAGGCAACATACTTGCAATCACTTGGTTTCCACTGGCAGCCTGCTTCGCCTCCGTTGGCCGGGGGTACTGATAGGCCTCCCAGTCTGCCCGAGTTTCCCTCAGGGTCTAGTCCCAGTCCGCCCGATCCGTCCGGCTCCCCATCAGGGTTTAGGAGTGCTTCCCTTTCGGGCGATCCTGCTCCCGGGCGAGACGAGCCTAGCAAGGTTTTGGAAGAGGTTTGATCCTGCGACCAGCCGGGCCTTCGGTCCAAGTTGCCAACGAATGTCACCATCACGCGGTGCTCCAGCAAACAAATAAAGCACACGAAGCGGTGCTGGTCAGTTGCCCGGAGGCTTTGCTGTAGCTGCCTTGGCCGACAATGCCTGGTAATGTTGCCACATCGCATGCGCCAGATGTGGACACGTCCACGCGAACCATCACATCCCTGAGCGTTGTATGGGAAACATATTTCCCGCCCGTCGGGAGTCCGACTGACCAGCTGATTCTCGGAGCCCTTGCTGCCCTTGGAATCCTGTTAAAGGCCTTCCCCTCTTGGGGCTATGTTGGGCTATGTTGGAGGGTCTTGGAGGCTATGTTGGAGGGTCTTGGAGGCTCTCTTGGGGCTATGTTGGGCTATGTTGGAGGGTTTTGGAGGCTATGTTAACCTCCCTATAGCTTGCAGACTGCAAGGTTGGCCCCAGCCCCAGCCCCAGCCCCAGTCCATGGGTGGGAGGGTGTACCAGTCTGACTGGACCCCGTATACCATGGATGATCACCCCTGGCTGCTGACCCATGATGGGACTTACCTGAAGCTGACAGGGGGGGGGCCAGCAAATGTACTTCCACAGGCAGTTGAAGAAGGACCTCAGTGGAGTACAGCTGACCCCAGATCTCCATGTGCACCACCTAAATGAAGACCCTCGAGACAACCGGGCTGCTAACCTCCTCCAGGTGCTACCTTCTAGGTGCACCTGAAGCACCATGCTGGAGGTGGCAGACCCGGGGGTCGAGGTCAGAAACGGAGGTTCGAGGGGTAGAGCAGGAAGGGTGACCTTCTCCTTGTTCTCCTTCTCCAG